ATGGCTGAAAGACACTTAAGGAAATGTTCAACATCCTTAGTCATCAGAGAAATGCAAATCAAAACAACTCTAAGATTCCATCTTAACCTGTAAGAATGGCCAAGATCAAAAACACTGATGACAACTTATGCTGGAGAGGTTGTGGGGAAAAGAGAACACTTCTGCATTGCTGGTGGGACTGCAAGCTGGTACAGCCCCTTTGGATGATAAGGGCGGGCACAGCCCATTGTGGGTGGTGACATCCCTGGGTTGGTGGTCCTGGGTTCTATAAGAAAGCACACTGAGTAGGCCAGTAAGCAGCTGCTCCCAACATCACGGCTTCTGTATCAGTTCCTGCCTCTGGGATCCTGCCCTGTTTGTGTTCTTGTCCTGTCTTCCTTCAGTGATGAACAGCAATGCTGAAGTGTAAAATAAACCCTTCCTCCCCCAACTTGATTTTTGGTCATGGTGTTTCAAAGCAGCAACAGAAACCCCGAGACAGTACCTAGTCTTAAAAAGCCCGAGCACGACTCTCCTCTATAGCCCATAGCCACACTTGATGTCTTATTTTTCCAAGTGCCTCCCCCCCAAATCTTCGTGATTAAAATCTACATTGTAATTTCTTTTTCCCTGAAGATTTAAAATTTTAGGTTTTATTTATTTTCATTGAAGTGTATGAGTTTTTATCTGAATATATACTTGTGTACCGCATATGTGCAATGCCTATGGAGGACAGAAGAGGTTGCTAGATCCCTTGGGGTTGGGATTACTGACCATTGTGAGCTGCCTTGTGAGTGCTGGGATAGGAGCCAGGTTTTCTGGAAGAGCAACCGGTGCTCTTAACTGAGATAGCTCTATATTTGCCATCCCAAAAAGATAAGATAGAAGATACTCCACCAGAGTTAGGGATCTCCTTCCACCAAGTGGTTTGTGGGGATAGTACTCACTTGCAGGAGGTGCCTTTTATTAATTGATTGATTGATTGAATTTTTTCGAGACATGGTTTCTCTGTAGCTTTGGAGCCTGTCCTGGAACTCACTCTGTAGACCAGGCTGGCCTCGAACTCACAGAGATCTGCCTGCCTCTGCCTCCCGAGTGCTGGTAGCAGGTGCCTTTATTTGCTGATCATCTCACCAGCCCTTTAAACCTTTTAAATGTACATATTTTGAGTGTGTGCCTGTGTGTGTGTGCATGGGAGAGGAGACCAGTGGACACCCAGCAGGAGTTTGTTCTTGCTTTTCACCACCTGGAACCCCGGGATTAAACCGATTCTAAGACTTGCCATTTTGCCCGAGAAATCTCTCCAATCCTTAAAAAAAAAAAGATCCTTTCCGTAAAACAACTTTTACTTAGTTAGTGTCAGTGTGTATGCGTGTTTGCTTATGCAGAAGGTAAATGATTCCATCCCCACCCCAGTTCTTTCTCTCCTGCCATCATCTGGGTCCCAGGAATGAAGTTCACATCCTCAGGGGTTGCTGCAGGCTCTTTAACCTGTAGTTTCATCTCAGTGTCTGGTATTTTTTAAAGCTATTTTCTGACACTTTTTTTTAGAGCATGCATGTTGAGGTGTACCTGTGTGCGTACCAGCAAGGAGATTATATAACAACATCCTCCCCCAAGTAGGTTCTCTCCTTCTACCAGGTGGGACTGGAACTTCAGAGAAAATGGATGACAGGAATCTTTATCCCCTGATTCATGCTCCCCAATAAACACACAGTACCTTAGGGGGAAAAAATTTAAATTAGTAGGTGATAAGTGCTGGAATGTAGACACACCATGCATGTAGTACCCAAAGAAGCCAGAAGAGGGCATCAGATACCCTGGGACGGGAGTTGTAGACAATTGTGCCCTGATGTGTGAGTTCCGGGACTTGAACCTGGGTCCTCTTGGAGAGCAGCATCTCTTCAGCCCCCCAAATTTTAATCTTTTTTTAATGTCTTTTTTTGTTTGTTTGTTTTTTGGTTTTTGTTTTTTCGAGCAGGGTTTCTTTGTGGCTTTGGAGCCTGTCCTGGAACTAGCTCTTGTAGACCAGGCTGGTGTCGAACTCACAGAGATCCGCCTGCCTCTGCCTCCCGAGTGCTGGGAGTAAAGGTGTGCGCCACCACCACCCGACCTTTTTTTAATGTCTTTATTTTGTGTGTGGTACATGTGTGTTTATGTAGCTGAGGAGGTGAGAAGTCATACGACCAGAGAGGGCTGAAACCTTCCACCTGGTGCTTTGCAGGGACAGAACTCAGGTCATAAGGCTTGGCAACAGGCACCTACACACACCTGTTGAGCTATCTCACTACTCCCTTTAAAATACATTCTCAAACTATTTTTTATTCATTGGTGTGTGTGTGTGTGTGTGTGTGTGTGTGTGTGTGTGTGTGTTTCTCTCTGTCTGTCTGAGAGCCTTCTGGTGATGCTACAGGCCAGCTGGCCAACTGCAGCTGCTCCACTCCATGGGTCCGGGGAATGAAACCCAAATTGTCAAGCTTTGCAGCAGGCCCTTCTGCCTTCTGAGCCACCTCACTGGACCTTTACCTTTTTTTCCTCCTTAAGCATGTGTCGTCTTTGGTTTTGGTGTGCTTGTGCGTCTGCACTCCTGGGAATGTTAAGATACCCAGACATCATTTGTGTTCCATTTTCACCATGTGGAGGTGGAGATGGAATCCCGAGGTTTACCCTTGGCACACACACCAGCCGAGGCATTTCACCACACTTCGTCATAAAACATGGTTTATTTTTATTTGTTTGTTTGTTTGAGACAGTGTGTTTTTGTGTAACAGCCCTGACTGTTCGGGAACTTGCTTTGCAGATCAGGCTAGCCTTGAACACAGTGAGATTCGCCAGCCTCTGTCTCCCAAGTGCTGGAATTAAAGGTATGCCCTCCACCAGGCTTTAAAATATGTTTTTAAATAGTTTATTTTCTGTGCGGTGGTGAACTATGTGTGGCTACGGGGGTTTGTGTGCAGGTGCCTGCAGGCCATGGGTTTAGATGGCACCCAGAAAGAGTTGAATCTCTCCTTCCAACTCCAATATTCTCAGAGGTCAAACTCAGGCTTGGCACCCAGAACCTTTATTTATATCTTGCCAGTGCTTTAAAAAAATGTGTTTGAAAAATTTGATCCATTTCGTGTATGTGCCTGGGTGTGTGTTTTGGGTGGCTGGGACACGATGCTCAGAGGACAACCTGCAAGAATTTGCTCTCTCTTCCCAGCTATTCAACTCACATTGTGAAATCTGACAGCAAGTCCTTTTACTTGGTGAGACACCCAAACACACACACACAGAGGCACATATGCAAAATATATCCTTTCGCCAGCTTGGGTTCTATAGCTATGGTCTGACATCCAACAAGAATAAACCATGTTTTATAAATTGAATGCAGATATTTGTCACAGGAGGCAGGAAATCTCCTCCAAGAGCAAAATGCAACCGAGGTAAAAGGCCCTCCGTTTTTCCCCCTTCTCCCAGTTCCCCAAGGCATTGCCCATCGTGCGTCATTCTTTCTGTCATGTTCTGATGGGATGGAATTCAGATCCCTAAGCTTGGTGTCAGAGGCCTTTACCTGCTGGGCGTCTCATTAGCTCCAGGCCAACTAGGGCTATATAATGTTGCCCTATTTCAAAAACAAACAAACAAGCAAACAAGAAAAAATAAGAAGAACAAATTTCCTGGTAAGTCTTACTCCAAGTTGGGAGACATGAACAAATAAATGTCTATTCACTGCAGATAAGGAACTGTTAACAGACCAAAGTAAGGATACCATCAAAGTCCAACTTGACGAGCCAATGAGTTTTATTGGGGTTACTCACAGGGATGTGGGTGAATGGTTACTTCCAGTTTCAGAAATGACTCAAAGATATCACCAGTGTGTGTGGTAAGGGAGGGATTTAGGTATCTGCTCCGTGTCAGGGACTTTCTACAGCCTTGGCATTGCTTACTTCCTGAGCTTCACTGGCTTCTTTATAGGATGGAAGTTTTCCCTTCCCTTTAGAACAGTGGTTCTCAACCTTCCTAATGCCGCAGCCACAATGCTTCCTCGTGTCATGGTGATCCCCAATCAGAAAAATATTTTCCTTGCTGCTTCACAAATGTAATTTTGCTACTGTTATGAATAATAATGCAGGTATCTCCAATGTGGGATATCTGATTAGTGACCTCTGCGAAAGGGTCATTCAGCCCTCAAAGGGGTGGAGGGCCACATGTTAAGAATGGCTGCTTTAGAACATCCGATGTCTTAATGAACTTCTCTCCAAAATGGAAGGTTTTAATCTGGAAGGAGTCTGCTACACAACACAGAATTCCACACAATTCTGGTTTGCACTTTTGACCTCCGACTAATTGTCTTTTTTTTTCTTTCTGTTTTTTTTTTTTCAACATAGGGTTTCTCTGTAGCTTTGGAGCCTGTCCTGGAACTAGCTCTTGTAGACCAGGCTGGCCTCAAATTCACAAAGATCCACCTGCCTCTTCCTCCCAAGTGCTGGGATTAAAGGTGTGCGCCACCACCGCCCAGCTTGTCTTTTCTTTTTTCATAGAATATATTCAACAGGCCGGGCGGTGGTGGCGCACGCCTTTAATCCCAGCACTTGGGAGGCAGAGGCAGGCGGATCTCTGTGAGTTCGACACCAGCCTGGTCTATAAGAGCTAGTTCCAGGACAGGATCCAATGCAACAGAGAAACCCTGTCTTGAAAAAACCAATATATATATATTCAACATAAGGCTCGCTTTTCCCATTTAACATTTCATACAACTTTCTCTTATATTTCAAAGGAAATGGCTCATACTCCAGTTTATTGGTTTTCAAAGTGTGATGAGTTACTGCTAGCCCTGATATTCCACTGCAAGTCTATGTGCCTTCAAACATCCAAATTAGAGCGGACTGTCAGTGCCCCCAGGAGAGCCATACACTCTATATAATAAAACTCCAATACCCGCAGTATTATTAGTCAGGGTTCTCTAGAGTAACAGAACTTATAGAGTGAACCACACTATATATAGAAAGGGGATTTATTAGAATGACACACAGGCTACAGTTCATCTAATCCAACAATGGCTGGCTGCTAACAGAAAGCCCAAGAATCCTGTAGTTGTTCAGTCCATGATGCTGGATGTCTCACTGGTCCAGGAGACACTGGAACCCTGAAGAAGGAAGTTCTAATGCAGTGAAGGAAGGCATTTGCCAGCAAGGCAACGGTAAGCGGGTAAAGAACAAAAGCTTACGTATTCCATATCCTTATATAGGCTTCCAGCAGAAAGGTGTGGCCCAAATTAAAGGTGTGTCTTTCCACCTTAAGATCCAGATTTATTATTATTATTATTATTTTGTGTTTTTGAAACAGGTTTCTCTGTGTAGCCTTGGCTGCTTTGGAACTCATTCTGTAGACCAGGCTGGACCCAAACTCAAGAGATCTGCTTGCCTCTGCCTCCCGAGTGCTGGGATTAAAGGCCTGTGCCACCAGAGCCCTTCAAGATTAAAGGCATGTTTCTTCCCACCTCAAGATTTGGGTTAGATATGTATCTTCCTATTTTAGATTAAGCAAAAAATTCCTCCCTGGTATTCCCTCCATTTTTGGATTTTGTAGTTGATTCCCGATGTAGTCAAGTTGACAACCAAGAATAGCCATTACACCAGATAAGAAGCCCGCTTTTGGGTTATTGGTCAGGGGAGTCTAAGAGACTCTTTAAGCATAAACTATTGCTGTTGCTCTTTGTTGCCTCTCAGAAGTTGAAAGTAAGTCCATATTTTGAAGGCACCACACACCAAACAAGGACCTGGAGGATCTGAGCTGGATCTAACCTTAAAGCTTCCTTCCTGAGGATTAGCTTTTGTGATACCAAAAGGTGCCATACAAGCTTCCAGAACAACCAATCGTCATACCTATGAACTACAACATCAACCGGCATAGCACTATATCCCTAAAGATGCAGTAGGGATATCCCTAAAGATGCAGTAGGGGCATGAATATCCTGGAAGTAACCTACAGCTCTCTAGTTGGCTGCACCCTTTCTTAGATAAGTCTGCCTGCCTTTGAGTCTGGCTTGTCGTTCATTTGTTTTCTCTTTGCATTTTGATTTTTGCCTGCCTTGCAATCTTTTCAGCCTTTTTTTCATTCCACCCCACAACCTTTTTACTTATCCTTTTATTCCTTACTTTTTCACTCATCCCCAGACTTCTTCATAAAGTAAAGCCTGCTCAACAAGAGGGAAGTGATGCCTGGTACTAGAAACCCAGTCAACTAACTTCCCAGGGCTAGTTAGGTCATTGATACTTGCAGAGAACCTACAACCATCACTTCACTAAACCAACATAGTTCTTACCTGCATTCTAAATTTTTATCTTAATACCCATAAATACAAGCGTAACTATCACCTCTCATCAAAGAAACCTGTCTTTGCAAGAGACAGAGACCATCACAGAAAATTAAATTGCCGGGCAGTGGTGGAGCACACCTTTAATCCCAGCACTTGTGAGGCAGAGGCAAGCAGATCTCTGTGAATTCGAGGCCAGCCTGGTCTACAAGAGCTAGTTCTGGGACAGGCACCAAAGCTACAGAAAAACCAAAAAAAAAAAAAAATCACTGCTTGGCCTATTAGCTCTCGCCTCTTATTGGCTAACTCTTACATCTAGAATTAACCCGTTTCCATTATTTTATATTTTATCACGAGGTTCATGGCATACCAGTAAGGTTCCGACTGGCTGCTTGCATCTTTCTCCTCTGGCGGCTCCATGACTTCTCCTAACTCTGCTTTCTTTCATTAACCAATAAAAGCAACACACATACAGAAGGACTTCCTACATCACTACGAGGTTTCAGCAACATTGTTACTTAAACAAGACCTGAACAAGGACCACACCAACAGATAGATAAGGTGAGATGAAAGAGGGAAATCACAAGAAGCTCCAACCCTAGACAAAGATTTACAGGCAACTAAGTAATGCTGAGAGCCAAGAGAAATAGCCTTCCCCCAATTGACTATCTAATACTAAGTGGTCTGCCCAGAAAACATATACATACAGGTAATAGTATATGCATTGAACAGGTTATTGAAACAGGGCTCCAGACCTTAGTAGGCCCCCAAACCTTAGCACAACTGACTCCATGATTGAAGTACCATTAAGGCTGTAAAACTCAGCATGTAGACAGTACCACCTGCCAAAACAAAAGACCCAATCCATCAAAGTGTATAGTTTTGGAAAGTTTCTAGATGTACTAACCTTGTCTTTTGTCTTCTCTAGTTCCACTTCTGGCTGTTCTTGTTAAGTGAAGTATGCCAACCCAGGATATTTTTTTATTTGTTTGTTCTTAAAAGTTCACCCTGAGAAAGTCTGGGAGCTAAACTGAGATCCTGAACACCCAGTGTATTCGTTAGCTAATAAAGACTTTCTATTAGCTTAAATGCATGTCCAAAGCAGTCTTCTCTGTTAAATACCACACAATGGTTAAACAATTATATTTACATTCTTTGGAATATATATATATATATATATGCACACACACAATATGTAATGTCAATTAAAGAAAAATAAGCTATGAATTGAAGAGAGTAAGGAGGAGGCACATGAGAAGGCTTAGAGGGAGAAAGGGAAGGAGGAAATGATGTAATTGTATTTCAATTTCAAGAGATTAAAAAACCCACATCAAAGCCGGGCGATGGTGGCGCACGCCTTTAATCCCAGCACTCGGGAGGCAGAGGCAGGTGGATCTCTGTGAGTTCGAGGCCAGCCTGGTCTACAGAGCTAGTTCCAGGACAGGCTCCAAAGCCACAGAGAAACCCTGTCTCAAAAAAAAAAAAAAAAAAAAAAACCCAAATCAAAATTAGCATTTGGATGCCCTTTCACTTAAAATAGTACTTAATAAATACAATTAGGGATCATTTACCATGTATTGCTGGACTAGTGTATGATGGACTAGTTTAGGGGGCTGAACAAATTCGTTTTGTGGAGACACTGGTAGAGAAGGGTGGCTGGGGGCTAAGTTCTAAGATTTTCCTCTGGGCTGTTTATTTAATCGGAGTGCAACAGACTGAGTTATCAGAATGTATGTCTTCTAAGAAAACCGAAAGACAAGGGTCTTAGATCAAAGCTTAAAAAAAAAAACAGCGATTTTTTTTTTTGGGTTTGGGATTTCAAAAGAAAAAAGGAGCCGTGTGTGTGTGTGTGTGTGTGTGTGTGTGTGTGTGTGTGTGTACACATACATGGATTTTTTTTTTTTTTTCCGAGACAGGGTTTCTCTGTGGAACGGGGAACTGGCTGTCCTGGAACTCGCTTTGTGGATCAGGCTGGCCTCAAACTCACAGAGATCCTCCTACCTCACCTCCCGATTTCTGGGATTAAAGGCCTATGCCATCACTGCCCAGGATAATTTATTTATTTTTCTTTTATGTACATTGATGTTTTGCCTGCACGTATGTCTGTGTGAGGGTGCCGGGTCCCCTGGAACTGAAACTACAGTTTGTGAGCCGCCATATGGGTGCTGGGAATTGAACCCGGGTCTTCTGGAAGAGAAGTCAGTGCTCTTAACCACTTAGCCCTCTCTCCAGTGCCCACAGATTTCAAAGGAAAAAAAAAAAAAAAGGAGCGGTGTGTGTACGTGTACGCGCGCGCGCGTACGTGTGTCTGTTTCATTACATACACAGATACAAAAGCTCACACCAAATAAAACCGCACACGGAACACATTGAGAATTGGTGTTGTTCACACAGCTACTCAATGAAATATGTACAGCATTCATCGTAACTTTGCTCCAGGTATTAGAGTTCCAGAACGAACAAAGAATTAGTGTTCGCGTGGTTTACATTTCTGAAGCCTCACTAGGAACTGTACGAGTCCGTGGCTCGAGTTTCCCGACCGGCTTCTTTATACTAATACACCCATCCCTTCCTGTTTGCTGCAAGGAGCTTGGGTCCAGGGGAAGGGGTTTACCGACGTACCCGGAACTGTTTCCAAGGGTTTTTTCTTTTTTTCTGGTTTGCTAAACGCTGCGGGCTCTTGGACGCTTGGCATCTTAGACCCTTTGGGGGCCGCAAGAGCGCCCCCTTGTCCCGCCCCTTGGCGGGTTCAGCTTCCACCACCATGGCTCCAGTGTCGGGCTCCCGTAGCCCTGAAAGGGATGCCTCCGGGGGAAAACGGCGCAGTTCGTCGAGGAGCCCTAAGCCCAGCAAGTCTTCCCGCTCCCCGCGGGGTCGCCGCTCTCGCTCGCGCTCTTGTTCTCGGCTCTGTGACCGGAATGGTCTGAGCCATTCGCTGAGCGGCTTCAGCCAAAGCTCTCGAAACCAGTCTTACCGCTCCCGCTCTCGATCGCGTTCTCGAGAGCGGCCCTCTGCGCAGCGGAGTGCCCCTTTTGCTTCTGCATCCTCGTCTGCCTATTATGGCGGTTACTCGCGCCCCTGCGGGGGCGACAAGCCCTGGCCAAGCCTGCTGGACAAGGAGAGGGAGGAGAGTCTGCGGCAGAAGTGAGTGAGATCGCCGCATCCTCTCTTGGACGAGTCCGCCCGCCTTTGAGTCCGGCTAGTCGTTCATTGTTTGTGTTTGTATTTCGCTTCCCACCCACCTCGCACCTTTTTCATCCTGTTCTTCAGTCCATCTCACGACCTTTTTATTTATCCTTTTCTAACTTAAATTTTCATTCATCCCCAGACTCCTTCATAAAGTGCCCCGTTTTCCCACTACCTACTTCCCCCCTCCTGTCTTTGCAGGCTGATAACGCTAAGAGCCTCGGCTCTATTGTAGTTCTTTGGTTGTGTCATTATCCGTGAGCTTCTCTTTATTCTTCACTAAACTGAACTTGTGAAAAGTAGAGGTTCTATTTTATTGTTCACAGAATTAGTAGTGCCTGCCTCTTGGTAGGCATGCAACAACCATCGCTTGTTGCATGAAGGAACAGACGAGCTTGCGATAACACGATGTCAGTGGGAAAGTTTTGCTGGGAATTGGTAAGGATTTTAATTAAGGATCTGTATTGGGTAGGAGGAAACCTTCCTCTATGCAAGATGGTTAGATGAATGTAAGAAAAGTACTCTGCCAAACTGTGGATGAGGCTATATTAGGAAAAGTTTTGTGAAGTGGTCTCAGCCATTTTTGACCATGAAAAGCAATGCAGGTATTGAGATCAGATCTCCTCTAATGGAGTTCTTGGTTTAAAAAGCCTGTGGTTGCAACAGCTATGAGTCTCAGCAGGAAGTCAGATCATTGTCGTCCTCATCTCCGTAGCAAGTTTAAGGCTAGCCTGGTATACACGAGACCGTATCTCAGAAAATACGTTAAAAAGGCTGGGCATGCCGGGCGGTGGTGGCGCACGCCTTTAATCCCAGCACTCGGGAGGCAGAGGCAGGCGGATCTCTGTGAGTTCGAGACCAGCCTGGTCTAGAAGAGCTAGTTCCAGGACAGGCTCCAAAACCACAGAGAAACCCTGTCTCGAAAAACCAAAAAAAAAAAAAAAAAAAAAAAAAAAAAGGCTGGGCATGATGGCTCAGCATTCAGAATGGAGGGCAGGTAGCCTGGACTGCAGAATAAATTCAAGGTCAGCCTGAGGGAGAGTGAGACCCTAAGAGAGAGGCATTTATTGCTGCATTAGTCATAGTGCTAATATTATGAAGTTTATCATGTTTGTTAAGCATTATGTCTTAGGCACTGGACTAGGCCTTTACCATGTGTTTTAAAAGGATAAAACTTAAAACATTACAGGCATTAGGGGCAAGTAAACTCTCTAACTGTTGAGAAATGTTTTCGTGATATTTTTTTTTCCTTCCAGGAGGGGAGGACATAAAGTCTAATAGTAAAAAGGGCAGGCTTCACAGCCACTCTGCTTGAGGATGAAGATTTTGTTTGCCATGAAGCAGGTAGCTTTGGGCAAGACAGTTGACCTTTCTGAGCTTCTCTTCTTCACCAGAAAGAGGTGCGGGAAATTAGCAACAAGGCTTTTAAGGTTCTACTAACTTCCATAAATGCGTGAAAACGGAAACAGTAAGATAGTTCTGAATTGCTAGAGACTTAATTATCCAATTTAAGTTATTCAGCATGGTGTAGTCCCCACAGAGTATGTGGGCCGGAAAGCAAACGGTGAGCCAGGAGTTTTGTGAGCTCATGTCTCTAATCCCATGACTTGAGAAAGGATCAGGAGTTGAAGACTAGCTGGACCCTGCTATATGAGATCCAGTCTCAAAAACAGGTGGAGAGGGTTTACTGGAATGTTATAATTCATTGGATGGAATTTGCATTTGTACTTTTAGATGACTTGAAGTTTATTCTGTCTGTTAAACATTGTGTCTTAGGCTCAGTACTAGGCATTGTAGCATGTGTTTAAAAATGAGAACTTTTAAAACATTACAGGAGCAACGGGTATGAGGCTTTGTGTTCTTTGTGGTTGGGTAGGCATTCTTCCCCTAGCAGTTACAAAGAGATGAATTCCCTTTTAAATTATAGTTTTGACCAAATTAAAAAAAACCTCCAAGTTTTTCCCATGATGAAAGAAGTTAAAAGAAAATCAAGCCAATTATATTTGTGCTATAATGATTAATTTTTAAACTGTAAGTTGCAAGCTACTACACTTTAAGAAATTCAGGCTTCCACCCCAATAATTATTTTTTATCTTCGAATAATTATTTCTTTTGGGGGGGTGGTTTAGACAAGGTCTGTCTATACAGCTGTTCTAGAACTTATATAGACCAAGCTGGCCTCAACAAAAAGAGACCTGCCGTACTTTGCTTCCCAAGTGCTGGGACTGAAGGCACCAACCACTATACATGATGTTATTTTTATTATGTTTTGAATTCTGTGTAGGAATGTGCGTCTGTGTATGGATATGTATATATGAGTGTAGATGCCTTGGAAGGCCAGAAGCATCAGATTTCCTGGAGCTGGAGTTACAGGCAGCTGAGAATCAACCGTCTTGGATGCGGGGGACCAAACTCCAGTCCTCTGCAAGAACAATATGTGCTCTTCATTGAGCCATCTCTCCCGCCCAGAGTTTGTATTTTAAGTTTATGAGTAGTAGTAAATATTAAAACAGAATTAGCCACATACACAAAATGAAAAAAGGTGTCCTCCCAAGAGTAGAGAACATACTCCTTCCCCTAAAAGGATCTGGATGGAAAACTGGTCATAAGCCTTATGGAGCATGAGGACAGTTTTTGTTAAAGAAAATTTTCCTTTCTCTCCAGAATTCCCTTTATTTTTATTTCATCTTTATCTTCACTAATTCCTAGGTTTCTGAAAGCAAAGTTTGACCAAATCAAAAGCTTTCACTACTTTATAAATATACGTGAACAAATGAATTTATTTTTAAATATAAACCTTTCTTAGCCGGGGGTGACGGCGCACACCTTTAATCCCAGCACTAGGGAGGCAGAGGCAGGTGGATCTCTGTGAGTTTGAGGCCAACCTGATTTAGAAAGCAAGTTCCAGGACACACTTCAAAGCTACACAGAGAAACTCGTCTCAAAGGAAAAAAAAAAAAAACCAACAACAAAACACCAACCTCCTTCACCCTCAAAACCTTTCTGTTACACTTTACAGTTAAATGGGCATTTAGAAGCTATGCCACACATTCAGTAAAAGAGATGCCCTTGACAGTCTGACTGCCATTTTTGCCACTGCCACTGAAGCACTCTATAGTTTACACCTGTTTATGATACTATCAGAGCACGACTCCTACCTACAGAGCTTATATTTAAATCAAGTTTTTATTAACTTTTCAAACATACATAAATCCAGGTGTTTCTGTAGCCTCAGCTATTTCGAAGGCTGGATCACTTGAGCCCAGGAGTTCAAGGCCAGCCTAGTCAACACGGTAAGATCCTGTCTCAAAAGATATATGAGGAACATAATACTAGAAGACTTGATTCCTGTTGAGTTTTATTGTATGTCTAGGAAACAGTTCATCCATTGAGTTATAATTTAAATATTTATATCTTTTAGGAGATTAAGTGAAAGAGAGAGAATTGGAGAATTGGGAGCTCCTGAAGTTTGGGGACTTTCTCCAAAGAATCCTGAACCAGAGTAAGTAGGTTAAAAAAATATAATTTTAAAATGTTAATAGCATTTGTTTAAATCCTGGTCTGCAGGCAAAATTTTTTTAATTATATTTTCTTACATTTTATTTATTTGCACATGTATGTATGTGCACAGGTGGAGGTCAGAGGACAACTTGCAGGAGTCGGTTCTCTCCTTCCACTATGTGGGTCCCAGGGATTGAACTCAGGTCGTCAGGCTTAGCAGCAAGCGCCTTTACCTACTGATCCATCTCGCCAGCCCTACTGTCAAAATTTTTAAGTGAAGAGCTTCAAGTACTTATCAAAAATTTTTTTGCTTTCTTATGATTTATACTATTTTACCCCTTATATTAAAAAAAAAAAACCATGGAACATGGGTAATGATTACAGATACAGTTAGTAGATTTTAGCACATTCATTGTGTGTGTGTGTGGGGAGGTTGCTTTGTTTTGTTTTGTATTTGAGACATGGTCTGATTCCGTGATCCAGGCTGTTTGGAACCCACAGTGTAATAACCAAGGCAGAACTCAGCCTCACAGCAATCCTCCTGCCTTAACCCCCTAAATGCTGGAATTCCTGGCATAGATCACCATGTCCTGCTTAACTGCTATCTTGAAATTATAACTCATGAATCATTAATTTCCTACTCAGATTCGTTATTAAAAATAATATATTTATAATATTTTTCTTTTTTTTCAACTAACCCACCATCAGACTGCTAGGTATTAGCATAAGTAATAAAAATAGAGGTAAGAAAGAAGGTCCTCCTGAGAGTGGAAGTGGGCTAGTGAGCTGGGGAAAGTAGACACTCAAAAGCCTGGAAAATTCATGTGTGTGAGTGATTGTGTGCGGGGTTCAGAATTTGAAGTCAGATATCTTCTGTGATCTCTTCTCTACCTTATATTTTAAGTTTACATTGATTTATTCTCTCTCTCTCACACACACAGTCCGTGCACGGGTGTTCTAGGTGTACTCACATAACACATGTGGAGGTCAGAGGACAACTTCCAGGAGTTGGGTTATCTTCCACTGTGAGGGTTATAGGAGATATAATTCAAGTTGTTAGGATTGGCATCAAGTGTTCTTACCTGCTAAGGCATCTTGCTAGTCCAGCACCTTGTTTTTTGAGACAGAGTTTTTCAATGAACCTGGTGCTGATTCAGTGAGCATGATTGGTTGACCAATAAGCCCTAGGAATCTTGCTGTCTTTGCCTCTGAGTGTTAGAGTTACAGGTGAATGCCACCCCACCCATCATTTTTCTGTGGGTGCTGGGAATCTGAACTCAGGTCCTTGTGCTTATGTGACAAACATTTGATCAACTGAGCTACCTCTCTGACCCCTGAATTAAAAAAACGTTCAGACAGATATAACATTGTCCATTGCCATATTCCCACCCCTTGCTTCCTTCTGTTCTCCTAAATACTTTCATTTCTTCTTTCATTTTATACATACATACATGATCTTATGGGACTATATAGAATCTGGGAACCACAAATCAGATAAAACATGAAATTTGTATTTCTGGGACTGACCTCATTTGCTCAACAGGATGATAGGCTTTTGCACCTGTTTTCCTGTACATGGTGGAACTCCATTCTTCTTTTTTTTTTTATTTTTTTTATTTTTCGAGACAGGGTTTCTCCACAGCTTTTGGTTCCTGTCCTGGAACTAGCTCTGTAGACCAGGCTGGCCTCAAATTCACAGAGATCCACCTGCCTCTGCCTCCCGAGTGCTGGGATTAAAGGCGTGCGCCACCACCGCCCGGCTTCCATTCTTCTTTTTGACTGGAAATGTTTCCACTGTGCACATACACTACATCTGTAGGTCTGTCTGTAGGTTTGTCCCACGGCCGAGCTGCTGTGAATAGTCTGCAGTTTACATTGTGTGTGTGTGTCTCTGTGATGTGATGACTCTAGTCCTTTGGGCAGATCAGGCAGATCAGGCAGATGCCCAGGAGTGGTAGAGCTAGATTCTGTGGAGGATCTATTTTTTTTTGTTGTTCTTGTTGTTTGAGAAACCTCCATACTGCTTTCCACAGACGCTGGATCAGTCTATTTTCCAACTGATTGTATATAAAGGCTCCCTGTTGTCTACATCCTCAACAGCATTTGTACTGAGTTGTTTTCTTTCTCTCTCTCTCTCTCTCTCTCTCTCTCTCTCTCTCTCTCTCTCTCCCTCCTTCCCTCCCTCTCTCTCTCTCTCTCTTTCTTTGTTTTTTGTTTTTTGGTTTTTTTTTTTGAGACAGGGTTTCTCTGTGTAGCTTTGGAGCCTGGCCTGGAACTGGCTCTACAGACCAGGCTGGCCTCGAACTCCCAGTGATCCGCCTGCCTCTGCCTCCCGAGTGCTGGGATTAAAGGTGTGCACCACCACTGCCAGGCTCTTAGTTGTTTTCTTAATGGCTGGGGTAAGGTGGACTCTCAGTGTAGTTTTCATCCACATTTCACTGATGGATAATGAGGTTGAATTTTTTTGTATGTGTTTATTGACCATTTGTATTTTGTCTTTTGAGAACCATCTGTTCATTTCATTAGTCTTTATTTATTTATTTATTTTTTATCTGTATGTTTATTTGAGACAGGGTTTTTCTGTGTAGACCCAGATGTCCTGGAACTTATTCTGTAGACCAAGCTGGCCTTGAACTCACAGAGATCAGCCTTCCTCTGTCTCCCAAGTGCTGGGACTAAAGGGGTGTTCCCCCACCACCTGGCTGAGTGCATTTATTGTGTTGGTTTCTTGTTTAATGTTTTTGGTTCCTCATAGTCTTGTTATCCTCCTCTGCCAGATGTAAGGTTTTCTCCCATTCTGTAAGCTGTTTCTTCACTCAATTTTTTTTTTTTTTGCTGTGTAAGAGGTTTTAATCTTGTAAGGCCCCATTTGTTGATCTGGGGATTTATTTTGTGAACAACTGGTATCCTATTTAGAAAGTTCTTACTTACACCTATGTTTTTTGAAAAATATTTATTTTATAAGTGTTTTGCCTACATTGTGTATAAGTGTACTGCATACTACCCTGGGCCTGCAGAGGCCAGAAGAGAGCATTAGAGCCCCTGAAACTGGAATTACAGATGGTTGTGAACTGCCATGTAGGTGCTGGGAACTGAGCTCGGGTCCTCTGCAAAGAACAGCCAAGGTGCTAAACCACTGAGCCATCTCTTCATCCCGTATGTTCGTATTTCAAAGGGTTTCCTCTTAGATTTTCAGAGTTTCAAGTCTATATTAAGGTCACCAAGAATTTTTAAAATTAATATGCTGCTATTTAAAAAAATGTTTCCTAGTGCTGATGACATCATTTTTATTAATTAAATTTGTTCTTTGACAATTTCAAATAAACGTTTTCTATATCTAATACTCTGAAGGCCTAGTACTTTTTAGTTGATGCTTAGTTTCTTTTTAAACGTTAATATTTTCTAAGCGGGTATCTGTGTGCCCTAGCACACAGGTGGAGTTGCTCTCTCCTTCTACAGTATGGAGTCTAAGGATTGCACTCAGGACCTCAGGCTTGACAACAAGCACCTTTAGCTTGCTGGCCCCCATGCTTATTTCATTTATTTATTTATTATTTATTTATTTATTTATTTATTTATTTTGGTTTTTCGAGACAGGGTTTCTCTGTAGCTTTGGTGCCTGTCCTGGAATTAGCTCTTGTAGACCAGGCTGGCCTCGAACTCCCAGAGATCCGCCTGCCTCTGCCTCCCGAGTGCTGGGATTAAAGGTGTGTGCTACCACCGCCCGGCCTTTTTATTTATTTATATTTTTGGTTTTGTGAGAGGTTTCTCTGTGTAGCCCTGACTGTCTTGGAACTCACTCTGTAGACCAGGCTGGCCTTGAACTCAGATCCAGCTGTGGGGATTAAGGGTGTGAGCTACCCTACTCAGCTCCACTCTTGGATTTTTTTGAGACAGTGTGCTTAACAAGAAACCTATAATTTGTGTCAGGATGATAAAGCGATATTATCTGAAACCTGTTCTTACAGATACCTGAACTCATTGAGTGAGGATTAAAAGAAACCCTAAAAATATTTTGATAAGTAATATCCAAGTTATATCATGTGATCTTCCAAACTTTAAGGATGACACAATATTTTAACTTTCCTTGGGACCATCAAAGCATTTTAATTTTTTAGAGCCTGTCCCAAAGAATTAAAATTTTTGTTTAGATTTATTTACTAGTTTTGACAAGGTCTCACTATGTGGCCCCCAGCTGTCCTGAAACTCACTGTGTAGACCAGACTGGATTCAAACTCACAGAAATCCACCTGCATCTGCCTTCCAAGTGCTGGGATTAAAGGTGTGTATCACCATGTCTTGCTATTTTTATTATTTTTAATTATATGTATTGTGTGGATTTCCATGGGTATGCACAGCTAGGCGCTAGTGCCCCCAGAGGCCAGGGATATCAGATTTCTTTGAAGTCGAGTTTTAGGTGATTTTGAGCCACCCCCAGCATGGGTACTGGGAGTCAAGCTCAGCTGCTGTTCAAGAGCAGTGCACACTCTACTTGCTGTGCAGATAACAGCTGGTAGAGGGCTTGTCTAGAATGCCTAAGACCCTGGGTTTAATCTCTAGCACCAAATACACCAGGCATGGTGGTACATGATTTATGATCTCAGGATTGAAGAGGTAGAGGCGGGGGGGGGGGGGTGCTAAAGTGAAAGGCTATCCTTAGCCACAGAGTTAAACCCCAGCATGAGCTAGAGACCCTGTCTCAAAAGCCATATGTTTCAGCTGCCAACTCCAACAACTTCATCAGATCCACGGGACCCACATGGGTAGAAGGAGATAACCAAATCCTGAAAATTGTTCTCAGACCCCCACAGTAGTGTACACATATGTGCGCGCGTGCACTCGTGCACACCTACACACACTCACACACGTACTAAACAAGCTAAATGTGAAAAATGTTTTCAAACCCCCAAACAAAAAGCTTACTTTCAGAATTTATTTTGCTAATTCTGTAGTCTGTTAAGGTATGGGGAGATGGGAGTTGTTCCAGTGTATATCCTTTACCTACTTAGAATAAAATTCTGAAGCTATGATATCTCCTGGATATAGAGCAAATGCCTAGCATCAGTGAGACCTAGGTTTGATTCCTACAGTCAATAATAAAATCATGAACTCTTTCATTAACCTTCATGTTTGCCTTTTCTTGATCTTTCCTTATGTTTTCTATTTCTCAACTTTTATCTTGTGAATTTCTTCTGTAAATATAAATCTTACACATTGCTTTTTTTTAGATAGGGTTTCTCTGTGTAGCTTTGGAACCTGCCACGGACTGAGTGGGGAGCCACTCAGACCATGGGAGAAGCAGGTCTTGGTAATCAGGAAGGTGCAAGTTCGGTGAATGACAGACAGACACAACACACAAGAGAGTGGTTGGGATCTGCTGCGATTTTACTGAATTCATGTTTTCATTATATAGTATTCAAACAAAGAACAAATCAGAAGGTCATGTATCATTGGTTGGCACAGTAGGAAAGCTTCTTTTAGTCACATCAGCTATATTTAAGAAAAGTATATTATCAGGAACAGGTGTTAGACATAAAGCGTCCTTAGAAGAGGAAATCTTGTCCTTGGGAATGTAAACCTCAGGCAAGTGCTTTCATCTTATGAATAGAAAGTTTCTGTCTCATTATCGCTATCATGGCCCTTCCTCTTCCTAACCCTTTATTCATCTAGTGACCAAATATACCCAATCAGTTCTCTGCACCTGTTGAAATATACTTTTTAGTACCTTCTTATGCAGCAGACACCATGGGGGTTGGGATCTAGCAAGCCTATCCAGAAAGTTCAGAGTATAATATAACCCTCTTTGTCCATACCTTATCTATTCCCTTGCTCATCATACATCCCGTGTATGTAGTCTTATACATTCCCATACTGTGCTTCCCTATCCCAGAGCTGTTCGTGAAGAGACAATCCTTGTCTTGTAGATACATAGACTATCATTATTGGGGGCTGGAGAGATGGCTCATCGGTTGAGAGCATTGCCTGCTCTTCCAAAGGTCCTGAGTTCAATTCCCAGCGACCACATGGTGGCTCACAACCATCTGTAATGAGGTCTGGTGCCCTCTTCTGGCCCACAGGCACACATGCAGACAGAATATTGTATACATACTAAATAAAAAAATATTTTTAAAAAAAAGGAAAAAAAAGGATATTATTATTATTATAAAAGAGATTTGCAAAGCCCATATCCCGCATAGCCAGCTAATCGAGAAACACATCTATGCCTCAGCAGTGGCTAATACTGGGCCATCTGCCATTGACCTCCAGGGAGCCTAGTCCCATAGGACATGTAGCTCCCGTCCGGCATAATGACATATGTCATGTCACACAGACGACACTGGAGTTGGTGTGGCAGGAATCTGTCCTGGAACTCGCTCTGTAGACCAGGCTGGCCTTGAACTCACAGAGATCTGCCTGCTTTTGCTTCCTGAGTGCTGGGATTAAAGGTGTGCACTACCACTGCCCAGCTACACACTGCTTTTTTAACATACTGTGTAAACTCTGAAGCATTATATAAATATAAGTTATTTTATTATTAAGGAGATGGTAGACTCTTGAATATACTCTTACAAAAATGGCTTGTCTTTGGGCGCTAGAGAGGTGGTTCAGTGGTTAAGAGCACAGGCTATCAAGCCTGAGTTTGAGCCACAAGACCCATATAGTAATAATTCTGTACAGCCAATTCTAGAGGACCCGATGCTCTCTCTGGCCCCTGTGGGCACCAGGCACAGTCATATGTGTCGGCAGAATGCCCACACAAGTAAGATAAAAGCAACATTAATAATAAGAATAATTTTACAAGCTTTAAAGGTTCCTAGGCAATGAGCGCTGTTGCTGAAAAACTGTAAGTGCTTATTTTAATGCCCTATGGAACATATTTCTTACAACCGTTTTCTGTAATTCAGCTCTGATGAACATACACCAGTAGAGGATGAAGAGCCAAAGAAAAGCACTACTTCAGCATCTAGTTCAGAAGGTAATTTTGTAAAATAAGGAATTAATTCATAAATTTCAAAAGTATGTTTATAAATAATTGCACATTGGACCTTGCTTTTACCCAGGCTACAAAACAGCTGTTTCTTTTCATCATTTCCAATATAGTAAGATGTTTGGAAATACTTCTGTAGAAGTTAATTTTTCATTTGTACTTACAACAGATGAAAAGAAGAAGAAAAGGAAATCTGGTCATTCAAAAGAAAGATCCAAGAAAAAGAGAAAGAAAAAGTCATCTAAAAGAAAACATAAGAAATATTCTGAAGACAGTGACAGTGACTCTGAATCCGAAACAGACTCCAGTGGTAAGAAAGCTGTGTCATTCTGCAAACCCTGGACTGCATTCTCATTGTTCAAAATGTTATGTGTGGGAGTGTTTTGTCTGCAAGCGTGTCTATGCACCATGTGTATTTCCTCCGCTGTCAGATCCCCCGGAACTGGAGTCACCGTTATGACCACCATGTGAGTGCTGGGAATCAAACCCAGTCCTCTGGAAGAGCTGCCAGGGCTCTTAACTACTAAGCCATCACTCTAGCCCCTGAGCTTTTTAAAAATTTGTTGAATTATAGCTGTAATTCTAGCCATGTTAGTTTTCTGATTATATTTTCTGCACTTAAGTATGTGTCACTTGGTACAGCAGGCCTCTGCCTTCTGAGCTAGTCACTCCCGGCTTTGCCTTGGCTTACTCTGAGCAGCAGTGGACATGCAGTAGGTTTGTGATACACAGATTTCAAAAACAACTAGTCACCACTTCCAGGTCAACCATTCCTTAATTATTGTCCCAAATCAGCCATGGTTTTTATTACATTTTTCTTCATTTATTTTGTTCATATGTGTGTATGTGGACATGCATACCACAGGATATGTGTAGAAGTTTGAGAGTAACTTTGAGGAGTAGAAATTTCTCTCCTTCCATCATGTGGGTCCTGGGGGTTGAACTCAGGTCCTCAAGCCCAGCAATAAGCAATCTTATCAACTGAGTCATCTTGCCAGTGCATTTCTGGCTGCTTTTAAGATTCCTCTGTATCCCCATGCACCCTAAGCTGTAGTGATATTTTGTTTGTCATCTAACAACTAAAGCTTACCTAAAGATCAATCAGAGTGCAGAGCTAAGCCACTAGTTAGCCATAGAGGCCAGGCAGTGGTGACACACACCTTTAATCCCAACACTCGGGGGACAGAGGCAGACAGATCTCAGTGAGTTCAAGGCCTTCCTGGGCTACACGAGATTGAATCTGTCTAAACAAGAAACATAGCCACACAAAGGTGATCCCAGCACTTGTGATCACAGGCCTTTAATCGCAGCACTGAGGAGGAGGAGACAGGAGTTATAAGGATGGGCAGAGAGGAATATAAGGTGGGAGGAGACAGGAGCTCAGTCTGAGGATGCAACCTGAGATGTAGTCTGCAGGTGCAGTCAGAGATGCAGTCAGAGATACAGTCTGAGGATGCAGTCGGGGGTGCAGTCTGAGGATGCAGTCGGAAATGCAGTCTGAGGATGCAGTGTGAGATGCAGTCTGAGGTGCAGTCTGAGGATGCAGTGTGAGATGCAGTCTGAGGTGCAGTCTGAGGGTACAATCTGAGGATGCAGTCAGAGATACAGTCTCAGATACAGTCTGAGGATTCAGTCAGAGATGCAGTGTGAGGATGCAGTGTGAGATGTGGTGGGGGGATGCAGTCGGAGGGATTCAGAATTCGTAGAGACAGATGCATTTTGAAGTTTCATAGAGACGCAGCAGTCTGAGGATTTGTAGAGATATGGTCGGCCCTTCAATCTGAGCATTGGTAGAGGTAAGAATTCTCTAGTGACTGGCCACTCTGCTTCTCTGATCTCTCAAGTTTCACCCCCTAATATCTAGGTTTTTATTGTTAAGACCAGTTAGAGTTTGTTCTCCTCCATGCTTTCCTCTGTCAGCCCAGATTCTGCTTGTTTCATTACCATCTCTCCTCCATTCCACTGAGATTCTGGAAAGCATTCTCTTCCTCTGCTACATACACAGCGTTGTTCCTTTTTGCTTTTGTTTTTCTCGCTATGAAACTTTGACAATTCTCGGGAAGTAAAGGGAATAAGGTAATCATCATCTTTATTATTAGTTTTCTTAGCATTTTGATATAGTTGCATAAAATATGGGAATAGGGGAAGTTGATGAGCTCTTCAGAGTAAGTTGCCATTCTCCTTGACTAAATATATATATTTGGTTTTTTCGAGACAGGGTTTCTCTGTGGCTTTGGAGCCTGTCCTGGAACTAGCTCTGTAGACCAGGCTGGTCTCGAACTCACAGAGATCCACCTGCCTCTGCCTCCCGAGTGCTGGGATTAAAGGTGTGCGCCACCATCGCCCGGCTATATATATCTTTGAAATAGGACATTTTCCTACTTAATCAATGCTATTAACTCAATGAGTAAATTAATAGTGATTCCCTATATTATTAATACTTAGTGGGGACTTTAATATTTTACATTTATTTATTTATCGTTTGTTTGTGTTATGCATTCATACATACCTATAAGTTGTGTGGATATCAGAGAACAACTTATAGGAATCAAGTCTCTCCTTCCACACATAGTTCTGGGGCTCAAATTCAAGTCAGTTTTGATAGTAAGCATTTTACCCATTGAGCCATCTTGCTGGTCCATGGCTTTAATTTCTTTGATTCCTGCCCCTAGTATAGTTCCTGGCAAGTTTCAATAAATGTTAGAATGAATAAATTTCTCTGAAACAACTAATGAATATTTACAATAGAATATTTACCTGTTAAAATATTGGGATTTTGAACTTTAAATTCTTTTTAATAATAATGTGCTTTAATTTTCAGATGAAGATACAAAAAGAAGAGCAAAGAAAGCTAAGAAAAAAGAAAAAAAGAGAAAACAGAGGACGTCAGTTTTTCTTTTCTTTTTAATGAAAAAGTTTGAAATGTAGATAAAATTATGTAAAATAGTATAATGGTCATATATATATACACACACACATACACACACACACACACTCAGTCTGACCTATTACCCTCTCATGGGTAATCTCTACCACCCTCCAGTCATTTTGGTACTAATGAGAGCTATCATTCCCTCCATAAATAATTTGATAATTTAGTACCTTTCTCTAAAAGGTATTCGTTTAAAGAAAAGTAAAGATAGTAATTTCTATTGTGCTTAAAATGTTAACAGTCATTGGGGAGTGGTGGCTCACACCTTTAATCCCAGCACTCAGGAGGCAGATGTAGGCTGATCTTTGTGAGTTCCAGGCTAGCCTGGTCTACAGAGTGAGTTCCAGGCCAGCCTGGTCTACAGAGTGAGTTCCAGGACAGCCAGTCCTATTCAGAGAAACCCTGTCTTGAGAAAACAAAAAAATTTAATAGTCAATTCCCTGTAGTTTTTTTTCCCTGTAGTTTATTCAAATCAGAATACAATTAATGTCCCTAATCAAATTGGTTATTCAGAGTAAATTAGCATGTTTTTCTGTCTTCTCTATTTCCTGGAGAGAGAAGGGGAAGGTATCTTGAGGTGGGCAAGGTTCAAATTGGAACTTTGGCCAGGAATACTTTCTAGGTGGTGCTATGTAACACCATCAGTAGGCAACAGATGTTTGTCTCTTTTTGACATATTAGCAAACACTAATGGTCTTTGTCAAGAGTCAGTATATCACTGAGATTGTAAAGCAGTGTGGGAGTTTACTTTGAATGCTGCTATTTAAACATATTTGCTGTATTTTAACCCATTATACTGAAAACTTTTATTAACGCTTACATTGATGAGAACTCGTTTTTGTTTTGTGGCGGTTATTTTTTTTTTTTTTTGCATTTTGTTTTGTTTTTGTGGTTTTTTTTGTTTTGGGGATTGTTTTATGTTTTTTTAAAGATTTATTTTCATTTAAGTGTATATATATATATATGTGTGTGTGTGTGTGTGTGTGTGTGTGTGATGTTTATACAGGTACCTGGAGAGGACAGTAAAGGGCATCAGGTCCCCTGGAACTACCTGATGTGCTGGGATATGAACTCTAGTTCTCTGAAAGAGCAGCAAGCATTTGTAACTGCTGAACCATCTCTTTAATCTCTGATGTTTATTTTCTTTTCTTTTATTTTTACACAAGGGTCTATAAACCCCAGGCTGGCCTCAGGCTCACTAGATATCATAGAATGTGTTTGAACTCCTGATTTTCCTGCCTCTAGCTCCCAAGTGCTAGGAATACATGTAGTTAGTCTTTTTTTGTCCCACCAACCAGCCCCCAAATCACACCACAGAGACATTTTATTAATTATGAAAACTCGGCTGATAGCTTAGGCTTTTTTTATAACTTAAATTAACCCATTTCTATTCATCTGTGTGGTACCATGTGGCTCGTGGCTTTTACCTCTCTTCCTGCAGGTTTTGCTTCCTTTACGTCTGACTGGAGACTCAACCTTCTCCCCAGTATTCTCTGTCCTGAAAATCCTGCCTAGCTATTGGCCATTTAGCTTTTTATTAAACCAATCAAAGTGACACTTCTTTACAGTGTACAAAAAGATTTTTTTTTTGCAGCAATTACAGACATAAGCTATCACCTCCGGCCTGAGAGTTAACTTTTAAGTTATTTTATTTCCATTAACTTTCTACATGATAAATATATTTTGTTAATCTTTTAGTTATTTCTTGTTGATAGTAAAATACTACTTGGGTTAACTGAGAAAACTGAATTGAAAAGAAAACATGAGAATGCCTTTTAATATGAGAATACTTAATTTGTATTATAATCCTTGCAGGAAGAAATCTAAGAAAAAGAAGTCTAAGAAGAACAGAAAAGACTCCAGTGATTCAAGCTCCAAAGAGTCCCAAGAAGAATTTCTAGAGAATCCTTGGAAGGATCGATCAAGTAGGTTCTTGCAGTTGACTAACTCAAAACATGAAACAGTAACTGATTAGTCAAGTTGTGAATGTGCTTCTTAATATTTTTCATGCAGAGGCAGAAGAACCATCAGATCTCATTGGCCCAGAGGCTCCCAAAACACTTGCTTCCCAAGATGATAAGCCTTTGAAGTAAGTAGAAGCGTACAATTGTGGGGTTTGGTGGTTCTCTTTATTGTAGGCTATTTGCTTTGTTTTCTGCAGTACTGAGTATGGTCATGCCAGGTTAGCAGGCTGACCCTGAACTGTGCGTTCAGCCAGTAGCAGTGTATTTGCAGTATCTAAAGGACTTTCTTAGCTCAGTATGGTGCTTATACCTGTGATCCCAGCATTTGGAAGGACAAGGCAGGGAGATCTGGGAATTCAAGGACATTCTAGGCTACATTGTGATCTCAAGGCCAGTCTGGGCTACAGGAGACCTGGTTTCTCCAAAATAAAAACAAGCTCTTTAACTGTCCTTCAAAGTCCCCTTCCAATAGAAGGAGCATATGGCGAATCCCAAAGCTTCTACCCTCTTTAGTCCTCACAGCACTGCTTGTTTCTCGTGTTCAGTGCCATTTTTAAAGTTTTTATCAGTTTACCCATTTTTTATGGGGGAGGGGAAAGCATGAAGTCAGAGGACAACTTTTAGGGGTCGGTTCTTTTCCTCCACCATATAGGTACCAGGGATTGAACTTGGGTCAGCAGACTTGATGGTAAATGTCTCTACCTTAACTGTGAGCCTCCTCTGCAGCCCATGCTGCAGTATATTGTTTGTGTTTCCCTTATAGTATAGTATAGTTATCTTTATAACTATATAAATTTTGTAAGTGCAGAGATTACTTTTGTGTCACAAGCTTCAAGTTTAATAGGAAATACAAGAAACCATCACTGAACTGCTTAAAAAAAATCTCTTTTAATCAAAGGCAAAAGATAATTTTTACCGTATGGCATTATTATTATTTTTTTTTTTTTTTGATTTTTCGAGACAGGGTTTCTCTGTGGCTTTGGAGCCTGTCCTGGAACTAGCTCTTGTAGACCAGGCTGGTCTCGAACTCACAGAGATCCGCCTGCCTCTGCCTCCCGAGTGCTGGGATTAAAGGCGTGCGCCACCATCGCCCGGCCCGTATGGCATTATTTTATTATTTGTTACAAGTTATTTTGCGATATATTATTTATTTGGGTTTTTTAGAGAGAATGCTCTGAGGACAAACAATAATGGTAATACCTGATTAATTAACCCACAGTTATAAGGTGTGAGTTTTTACTTGTGAATATTGGTTCATTTGTTCTTCCTGATTATTTATACATTTCTAGGTTAGTAGTACAGTATAATGTTCTCTAATAAAAATGAAGTAACTCACATCAGGCACACAGCTGCTCAGTACTGTTATGCTCACTACTATCTGAGGGAAAATGACGTGTGCGCTCCTTTTCTATGGAGATAGTTTAATGAGTCTTTTGTGAATTCTGAATTACCTTGTAGCTATGGCCACGCTCTGTTACCTGGTGAGGGTGCAGCTATGGCTGAATACGTGAAAGCTGGAAAGCGAATCCCACGAAGAGGAGAAATTGGCTTGACGAGTGAAGAGATCGCATCATTTGAATGTTCGGGTTACGTAATGAGTGGTAGCAGGTATTTTCTGGGCATTGAATCAGTTTCCATAATTAACTCTTTTCCTTCTCCTTCTCTATTACTACTAGGATTATATTTTGGTGATGTTTTCACTAAGTGACTATTTCCTAATGGAAAATAGTATACACGTACACACATGCACACACACACACACACACACACACAAATACTGGTTTCATTAGGAAAAACATACTTAAATAAGATTTAACTATGTATAAAACTTAGCCTCAAACTTTACAATATCTCCAAATTTAAAGACTAGTTTCCAGTTTTATTTTAAACAACTGGTCCACCAGGCAGTGGTGGTATACACTTTTTTTTAAATAATGACTTTAATTATGTATACAGTGTTCTGTCTGCATGCTAGAAGAAGGCACCAGACTTCACTATAGGTGGTTGTGAGCCATCTTGTGGTTGCTGGGAATTGAACTCAGGTCCTCTGGAAAAGCAGCCAGTTCTTTACTTCTGAGCCATCTCCCCAGCCCTCCAGTTTTATTTTGTATTCATATTTTGGTATAATTTTCCCCCTGGAAAATATAGTTAAGTTCAGCCATCTATCATAGAAGAATATGGGAATCCATGAGATAAACTTTGTTGGTTTTTGAGTTTGCTTCCAGGTCTCAGAGGACCAGAATTTCTGGAAGTGAGTAACAGTTAGGGATCATGAAGGATGTGAGATTCAGCATGAGGAAATAAGACTATGGAAGAAACAGAAAATACTTGACCAATCAGGGAGAGGAAAGGCAGCAGTACTGAACTCATGTGGAACTGTGGCTTCTTTAAGATTACAAGCTACCTACTAAAACTGCTATTTTGAATTGATAGCAGAGACAAATATATGTGGACCCTTCTTTCTAAAGTACCCCAGAATCTTAGATTTCTGCAAACCAGCATCACTTTGGAGGATGACAGTATGGTAAGGACAATCCACTACAAATGTAAGGATCAGTAAGGAGGGTTCAACATAGCAATTTTTTTTTGATTGAGATGATTATTTACATAAAAGGTCCCAAAGACTCTTCAGGGCGTTAACAAATGGTTGCATATAAAGTTATTACAGAACCAATTGTGTTTTTATATCTCAGCAACAGGAAACTAGAAAATACTATTAAATATATCATCAATATAACTAATAATGTATAACTGCATAATATATAAGGAAATATAATTAAACATTTATAGTTTAAGTATATTATATAGTATCAGAATATGAATAATTTAGCACTAAATCTTAACAAAAGGATCCCCAGACCCCCACAGGAAAAACTATAAAACATAAAGAATCCTTAAGAGAATGTAGACATTGCTTAGTGGTTAATAGCACTGGCTACTCTTTTAGAGAACCCAGGTTCAATTCCCAGCATCTATATGACAGCTCACAAGCAGCTTTAACTCCAGTCCCAGGGGATCTGAAGTCCTCTTCTGGCCTCTGCAGGCACTTCACATATGTGCTGTATAGATAGATATACATTCAAATATACAAAACATTCATACACATTTAAAAAATTAAAAAGTTTAGCTGGGTGTGGTGGTACAGATTTTTAGTTCTAGCTCTCTGGCAGAGGCAGGCAGGTCTCTGTGTTTGAGGTCAGCCTGATCTACAGAGAGTTCTAGGACAGCCAGGGCTACAAGGAGAAACCTTGTCCTGAAAAACCAATGAATGGATGAATAATAAAAAAGAAACACTAAAGAAGAATTATGGAGACAGACCATGTTCAAAGATAGAATAGCAATATTGTAAAATCAGTTTTCTCAAATTTATCTGTAGATTCAATAAAATTTAAAACAAAATCACAGCAGTTTATGAAACTTAATAAAGCTGTTCTAAATGCTCTAAATGTTCTAAAATGTATTTGTTAGTTTGAAAGGCCAAGATTAGCCATGTTACTTCTAAAGAAGAGTAGGCAAATAAGATGTGGCCTACAAGAGATGAGAATTAAGGAGCTTGCAGGCCTTAGGAAGCGTAGGGAATAACCTAATTATTCAGTGGGATAAAATGCAGAGCCCAAGGACAGTTTTACATGTGTGGAATTTGTGTGTATGAGAGAGCATGCCAGATCTGTGCAGAAGTATTCAGGAAATGGAATAGGAAAAATGTCATCTATATGTTAAAAGAAGAACATAGAACACTGAGTCACTATATATAAAAAGTAGCCACTAGATAACATACATTCAGAGAGGGTGCCTCTTAGATAAAAATGTATTTTATAAGCAATACAAAACATGTCCTACCTAGAAGTTTGCCTAGGCTAAAAGTAAGAACTTGTGTCCATCAAAAGACATTAAAATGTGAAAATTCCAAGCTCAGGTAAGATTCTTGCAATACACACAATTGATAAAGTGCTGATAATGAGAATATTTAAATGAACACCTATAAAAGAAATACGGGGAAATGACAGAAGGTCAATCAAAAGAATACATGTATCCTATATATAAACTAAATGATGTTCATGATTATTGGAAATGGAAATCAAGACCTTGGTGAAATACTGTTTTGTACCCACTTAATAAGAAGAGATTCAAAGTTTTGACAGTGGCAGATATTGAGAGAATGTGGTGCCACAAGACCTCTTAAACACTGGTGGTAGCATATCCATTAACAATGTGACATTATCTTGGAAAGTTGGATTCTCATGTGCATTATAACCAAGCAGCACTATACTAGGGTACCCAAGAGAAAATCCTGCCCATGGACTAGAGACACGCATGTAGGTGTTCATTATAGCATCTTTCTGTTCCATGTAACTGCACTAAACAACTTAAATATATTCCCATTTCCTTGACTCTCCCATCTTATCCCTAGATACCATTACACGAACCTGAAATGATTCTCTCCTCTTGTTACCCAGTCTTTCTTGGTTTTTCTGAGAGAAGTTTCTTGAAATAATTATGTAGGCTTGGGTACATATGCACAAAAAAGGTCATTAATTTTTCTCTCTAAATAACAGACCCTTTGAATTCAACATTATAGTTTTCCTCTGCTTCTATACTTTACTGATCTAACTCTTAGACTGCATCCCGTTTTCTTTATGACCCTTCTGGATTCTAAGGATATTAAAGTATCCACAGGATCCCTCGTCAGTTATAGATTTTCACTTCATTCTCTTCTTTTATCAGTGACACTTGGCTAACTAAGAGAAATCTTTCATCTGCCCTGTTATGGACTCCACAAAGACAAAACCCACTATTACTGGCTGGGCATGGTGGCACGTGCCTTATATTACAGTGCTGGAGAGGCAGAGGCAGGTGGATCTGTGTGAATTTGAGGTCAGCCGTATTAGCCAGAGCTATTTAATGAAACTCTTTTTAAAAAACACACAAAAACCCAAAAACAAAAAAATGCACATCATCTAAAACATTTAATAAGTTTCCCATGTCAGTTTATTAGAAATAAGCAAAAAAGAATTGTCTTTAATCTGAAATTAATGATAATATCCACTATGCTGACAAACATTGGTGATCATCACTACTAGATATAAGTTAAAGGAAAAGGGACCATCGATAGATAAAATGTATAATCATTTGATGACCTATCTCCAGGTTCTATTGTCACCTTTTAAATAGAAGATTCTATATTAAGAAAGGATTAATGAGGATATAGTATAAGAATTATTAATAAGAAATTAATTAAAAACTAAAATTGTCTTTAGGCATCGTCGAATGGAGGCCGTGCGACTGCGGAAAGAGAACCAGATCTATAGTGCAGACGAGAAGAGAGCCCTTGCATCCTTTAACCAGGAAGAAAGACGGAAGAGGGAGAACAAGATTCTGGCCAGCTTTCGGGAGATGGTGTACAGGAAGACCAAAGGGAAGGATGACAAGTGAGGACTTTCCCACTGTACAAGTGGACATTTCTAACATCAAAAAGGAAATTGTGGGTTCTAGGCATAAAAAGGTTATTGTTTTGTTTGTTTTTGGGGTTACTTTTTGATGTGTGGTTTCAAGCAGTTCAGGTTGGCCTCAGGCTTTGTGGCCAAGGATGACTCTGAGCTCTTGGTCTCCTGCCTCTACCTTCCAAGTGTTGAGATTCCAGATGTGTGCCACTATGCCCAGCCAAAAAGGCTACTGCGCTCTGGAATGGCTTTTCAGTGCTTCCGTGCCTTCTGAATCCTTCAGTCCTTCAATAAAAGATGCTTGTTGATACAATTAGTAAGTTATTTTGGGCTTTTTAAGGTTGACCCTAACTTTCTGGTTTGAAAGTCCAAATTTTGAGTGAAATCATGCAATGTTAGAAAGGTGTCACAGAGAGAAAGTGGCAGCGGCAGCAGAAGTTTAAATTTTACGTTGTGATTTGGTGTGAATATTTTTAGCTTTATACAGTGTCTGCCCCTGCCCCAGCAGAACTTGGAAATGGCATATCTCTGTCTTGACTGTGTCACAAATGGGCTGTTAACAAAATGAATGACAGTGTTGCTGTAAAAAGCAATTCTGGAATTTGAAAACTGACTGTTTCTATAGTCTGCCCTAGAAATGTATTTTGGGCTAAGTCTACCTCTGCTCTAAAAGCAAGCAAACCAAAAGGCTAACTCACAGATGTGTGGAATAGAAAATGTGAGCATTAGATGTTTTAAGTTGTTAATGAATTACTTAAGATAGTTCTTTCAGCTGCCAGGGTGTAGCTCAGAGTTAGAACATGTGGTTATCATGCATGCGGCCCTGAGCTACATCCCCAGCAGTGCAAAAAAAAAAAAAAATTTTGAAATGCAGTCTTGGGAAGTCTCTTGTTGTGCCGGTATAAAAATACTATTTCTAGCTAAGCTGATATTTATTGATAGGATAATATCTAAAGGAATGAACATCAGGAGTGCTAATGAGGGAAAATATAATGTCAGTATTTTAATTAGCTGTTTCATGATAATGAAAGTAAAATATTAAATGTTTTCATTTGTGTTCTTTATGTACTCAGATTTTTTTTTTTTTTTTTTTGAGACAGAGTCTCACTGTGTAGCCCTGGATAGCCTGGAATTCCTAGAATTCTGCCTGCCTCTGCTTTCCTGGTGCTAGAATTAGAGGTGTGTGCCACTGCACCTGGCTATCAGCTTTGATTTTAAACATTGTTAAACTCTTCAGCTTTTTTATATCAATCAATGTCTTTAATCCCTAACTTTGTAGAAACCCTCCTCACTTTATCACTGCTCGAAAAGTTGAATATATGTTCTTGGAAAATGTGTTTTTAGCCCACAGCTGCTGAACTGGCCAGCAGTTAGCATGTAGCAACATCTGTGATCTTTGAACTTGAAATGATTTCACTGTATCTGTTCTTCTCAGTCTAGTAAGTCTGCAGTTTCCTAAAACTTCATGGAAACTAGCTTCCAAAGTTTCAAGTCTTACTGTTTCCTACACCTCCTCATGTCATACAATGTAAAGTTTATAATTCCTACTTTAAACTTTATTCTGGGGGGGCATTAGATTTTGTTAACTGGCTCCTAGCGACTGGATGAATATGTTTTCATTTTTCTTAGGTAATGTAGTTTAAATGCAACAATTTTATGGTGTATAAGTATTATGGGTTTTATTTCGATTCTTCTCTTGTATAGAATAGACACAGTCAATGAAAGAAAAGATAGGAATTTATTTCAAAACCTACCATTCCTTGAGTCAGTTCATTCGGATAAGATCTGCAAAGACCAGCTTTAATAGCAGATCCTTTAAAAAAAAGTGGAAGGCTAAAAGTATTTTATTTTTAGCTTGAGTTATTGCTTCAAACTGTGTTTTATCACCTGAGCTCTAAGCCAGCCACTGTTTGCAAAGGCAAATCTTCCTGGTTTACACACATATGCACACACACGCGCATACACACGTGCGCGCACACGCACACGTGCACACACATGCGCACGCATGCACGTACACACATGCACACACGTGCGCACACACATGCACGTACACACATGCACACACACGTGCACACACATGCGCACACACACATTTGTAATTGAACAAACATTGAGTTAGGACTTCTTTTTGCTACACTCCCAGTGAACAAGATGGTGGCTAGGGTTCTAGCTGTATTGTTCAAGTTCTTTAGGCCCATTTAAAATCTATGTAGAATGATTGTAATTTAAATACTTCATTTTGTTCTGTAAAGAGACTTACCTAGTTTCTTACCTCTTCACCTGTTGTTCACAGGGTTTTCTCTCCTTTTTAAATTGTTGTACAAAGATAATAGTTAAAAAAATAGAAGACTTGCTCAGTCCTACCACATGTCTTGTTTGTTACAAGTATTCTGTGTTCCTTGTATGTCTTTGTCACTCAAAGTATAGTGTAAATTTGTCTTGGACATTTTAAAATTGTGTGACCAAGCTTAGGAGTCTCATAAGGAAGGTAGGAATACATGATGACCCAGTGTGAAGGTAGAAACAAGACCAGAAAAGAATAAGGGCGCTAATCCCTCTCTAGTTCATTGTACTAATAAGCATGTGATGTGTTCTAGAAGCCAAAACATTCGGTTTCAGAATTTGGCAGTGAGGCTCACCTTACAGTAGAAGAGGTCTGTGAGTAAGCAAACCCTTCAGACTGGGTAGTATGAGCTCAGAAGTGTTGCCGTTTTGTTACCCAGCATACCCATAAAAATGTGTATCAAGCCGGGAGGCAGGCACAGAGAAGGACCAAACAGCTAAGGGCCAATGGGTGAACTTGAGCATTGTTGGAAATGCAACTCTGTGCTTGCCAAACTCCAAAATCATGATATAGTGTTGACAAAAACCTTTTCAAAAACAGAAAACAACTTATTACAGAATGGATAACGAATAAAAGCAAAAATGCAGTTGGGTTGTGTACCACAAGTTTATTATTCAATAAATATTATGTGGTTTGATGTGCTGTTTCATATTTTAATGTATCATTAAGAGTCCTCAGACATAACACAAGAATCAGACAACTTTGAAAGGAATAGACTCCAACAAAATATGTTTGGTCTCAGTAATGTCTCTCAGCCATTGTTCTCGAAATCGGATCTTTCCTGGTCTATAGAGGAAGGGGAAAAACATGCATACACAAAGCTTTTATAATCAAAACATTGAGACAGGAATTCCCTCCTTACATTCCCAGTGAACAGGGTTCTGACTGGTTTCTACTGGATTCCTTACTGTTCTTTAAGCCTAGGTATAAAGTCTTTTGGAGGGCTGCCATGAAGTAACATGGGTTGCTACACTTGAGCAAATTCATTGTGAGTTTCATGTGGTTCTTTATTGGGAGCGGAAGTCCTGAAACATAATTTTACTCTATAGTCCAGTCAAGCCTGAAACTTACAGCAGTCCTCCTGCCTCAGCCTCTCAAGTGCTGAGGTTATAGACATACATTATAATGCCTAAAAGGGGCATTTACCCATAGTAAATTCAGTATAATTGTCAAGTTTTCCTGAAGAGGGCTAGGGCCGTAGCTCAGTGGTAGGTTCCCTGCCTCATGTATGCAAGGTTCTGGGCTTGATACCCAGAAAACACACGCACACACGCACTCACACACACACACTTTCAAGCTTTGATGTTTCTGTAGAAATAACAGATATGACTCACTTTGCATTACCCTGTTCTATCAACTAATTCATAAGTTTCTAATTACTGAAAAAAAAACACTAAGAAAAACAGTTTTCTAGACTGCTGCCAGAATCATCCTTTCAGCCAGTCCTGTAGGGAAAGTGGTCAAAGATGAGGTGAGCTCTGCATGAATTATCTGTGGGTGTGGGCCTATGGGATTCCTAGAATGTGACAGCCTTTACCTCACCCGTTTAGAACAAGTCTCCAAATTTTAATTACCTTTGAAGTAGTTCTGAATTCTCAAAGATATAGGAGACATCAACAGGCATATCCTGAGAGAGAGGGACAACTGTAAGTCTGGACCAAGCATGCCAACGCTCAATCCTCCCCCTCTCCCCTTATCCAGAAGTATATATTTGCATTTTCAGGACCCATAAGTGGGAACTTATTAGCTGGTAGTTCTTTTGTCATTTAAAGGCTATTCTGCTAAAGACTTTTTTTTTGGTCACAGGTACCTTAAGCTACACCACAAGATTGGAGACAGTCGCCAGAGGCGAGTGTCCCTCAATAAGAGCATGACTCAGTCTTTTGCCTTCTTTATTAATTTCTTTTGGCAAGGGGGGGATTGAAATTGTTTTTTTTTTTTTTTCCGAGACAGGGTTTCTCTGTGGTTTTGGAGCCTGTCCTGGAACTAGCTCTTGTAGAGCAGCCTGGTCTCGAACTCACGGAGATCCGCCTGCCTCTGCCTCCTGAGTGCTGGGATTAAAGGCGTGCGCCACCACCGCCCGGCTTGAAATGGTTTTTTAATATCGAAGTTTAGTTCTGTTGTCTTCTTTACATAGTGCATTTTAGTCAGCTGTGGCTCTCTACCTCTTCGGAATGGAACAAACAAGAAGGAAATAACATAGATGAACAAGTTGAAACATTCTCATTTTGAAGCAGTGGTTTTGCTGTGTTACCTGTACTGGTGGTACATACATACACACCGAGGAATGAGGACCAATAGTTACAATAGTAAGTAAGACCCTGGCTAAAAAAGAAGCTAGGCGTGATGGCACCTGTCTGAATCCCAGTACTCAGGAGGTAGAGGTAGAAGAATTGTCACAAGTTTGAGGCCAGCCTGGTCTACCAAGTGAGTTCAGTGTCAGCCAGGGCTTTTATAGCAAGACCCTGTCTCAAAAAGCGGGAGTGTTTGGGGATATAGCTCAGTTGGTAGAATACTTCTCTAGCATGCCTGAAGCCAGTGCCTCATAAATTGAACATGGTGACCCGTGCCTGTCATCCCAGCACTTGGGAGGGAGAGGCAGGTTGGAAGCCAACCTGGACTATATGAAATCCTGACACATAAGATAGAAAAAAAGGAAGGAAGGAAGGGGAAGGGGAAAGAAGTAGAGAGAAGAGGGAACAGGCAATGCATTGTTTGGGAAGAAAATGTTCTAGTTAGAAGGAATGGTGGATGTCTCTATCAGGTTTATTGGAAGAATAGCAAGGTTGGAGTGGTAGAAACAGAATAGAGGGAAAGCGGCAATGAGAAAGCAGAAATAGTATATTTATAATATGTATATTAGATATAGTCATAGCTCATTGTTATTCAGATACAGTCTCTAGGTGTGTGCTATCAGAATTACCTAGGAGTTTGCTGAGAATGTATTATCTCAGCTGGGTGCTGGTAGCCTATGCCTTAACCCCAGCACTTAGGAGGCAGCCAGAGGTCTGTGGATCTCTGGTGGCCAGCCCGGGCTACAAAGTGAGTAGGACAGCCAGAGCCACACAGAGAAACCCTGTCTCCAAAATAAGACCCTCTGAATCTGAATCTTCATTTAATAAGATCCTCAAGTAATTTCCATGTACTTCAAAGTTCAGCACTATTGCGGGGACATTTTAAACAAAGGACCTGAGGCTGGAGAAATGGCTCAACAGTTAACAGCTCTCCTTCAGAGGACCCATAGTAGGCAACTTAAAACTGCCTGAAACTCCAGATCCAGGGGATCTGAAGCCCTTTCTTGGCCTCTGTATGTTAGATGCACTCATATGAACACACACACACACAATTAATAAAAATAAATCTTTAAACACAGGAGTGACAGAAATTCGCTTTAAAGGGCTACTGCATGTGGGCAATGACAAGGAGAGAGAACAGTTAAGCTATTGAAATAATCCTGGGGACAGAGGGAGAGAGACAGGAGATGTGGAACACTGTCCATACTTTCTTGATGGGTGAAGGGAAGGACATGATGGAAAGAGAAGAGTCAAGGAAGATGCCGAGGAATCAGCCATCAGCTCAGATGCAAAGACTTGAAGTGGGTCAGTTGTGGGGCGAAATCAAACATTCAATTTTAAGGCTAGGGAGACGGCTCAGGGCTAAAGCACTTGTTTAGCATCCAAAGGCCCTAGGTCCAACCTCCAGAATCACAGAAACAAAACTAATTTTAAAAATAATAAGTGAAAGGTGCATTAAATCTCAAAATATGCTAGAGATTTGGAAATCATAAGATCTAGTGACATTAATTTTTCTTATTGAGTCACTTTTTTTTGTTTTGTTTTTTGTTTTTCAAGACAGTGTTTCTCTGTAGCTTTGGAGCCTATCCTGGAACTAGCTCTTGTAGACCAGGCTGGTCTCGAACTCACAGATCTGCCTGCCTTTGTCTCCCGAGTGCTGGGATTAAAGGCATGCGCCACCACTGCCTGGCTTGATTCACTTTTTTTTTTTTTTGAGATGAAGGAATCACAGTGTGTCACCAAAGTTGGGTATAAACATTCTCAAAAAGTGTTTTTTTTTGGGGGGGGTAATAAACATTTTCAAGGTTCTTATTTTTATTATTTTATGAGTGTTTTGCCTGCATGTATGTGTGTGCACCACACATGTACCTGGAACCAAAGAGGGTTTCAGGGTCTCTTGGACTGTAGTTACAGATGACTATGAGCTGCCTTGTGGATGCTAGGAATCTAACCCAGGTCCTATGCAAGAGCAGCCAGAGCTTTTAACCACTGAGCCAGCCCTGGATTTTATTTTTAAATTGTGTGTGTGTGTGTGTGTGTGTGTTTGTTGGGGGATATGTGCTTATGAGTATCCAGAAGCTAGATCCTTTGGAGCTGGAGTAATTATGAGCCCTGTGTCTTGGGTCCTGGGAACCAAACTCAGCAAGAACAGCAAGCGCACGTAACTGCCATAAACTGCGTTCAAGTGATTCTTAACCTCCTGAGTGCTGAGAACAAAGTGCATCACTGTACCCAGCTTGAGGTTTTGTTTGATTTTGAAATGTACCTCTTGCTGTTGCTCAGGTTGGTATGCGGATTCAAATGATTCTCCCATTTCAGCCTCCTGAGTGGGTGGGGCGGCAATAGGCAGGCATCCACGTACCGAGCTCTGGGTGGTGGTTAAAGCCATATGACTGGATAAAATAACGAAGCTAAGTACAGAGAATGGGTCTGGGCATTGGGACATTGTAACATGAAGTTGACCGTGTGAGGCAGACACCAGTCCATGCCGCAAAGGAATGGTGAGTGCGGGACAAGGCACGCCAGGAGAGCGTACTAGAAACCAGATGCAAAGTGTGGAGGACAGTAGTCAGCGTGATAGGTGCTGCGGATGGGCCAAGTAAAATGAGGGCAGAAACGTGACTGCTAAGTAGAGTGGCATATTATTTGTGTTTTAATAAATAAAGCTGGCCTGAAGGTCAGTGCAAAGAAGCCACACTAGTCAGCCATACAGGCCAGGCAGTGGTGGCACACACTTTCAATCCCATCAGCCACACTAGTTAGCCATAGGGGCTGGATGGTGGTGATGCACGCCTTTAGTCCGAGCAGTAGAAAGGAATATGAGGTGGGATGAGACAAGAACTCGCTCTCTCTCAGTCCGAAGGTTTCACTGAGGTCAGAGCTCTCTAGTGCCTTGACTGCTTTGTTTTTCCGATCTTCAGGTTGAACCCTAATATCTGTCTCTAGGTTTTTATTATTCATGCTACAATTAAGTTTTATGTGTTGGAGATACAGCTAAAGGACAGAGTAACTGCCTAGCACATGCAAGACCCAGGGTTCCATCCTCAGCACCACATAAATAAATAAACAAACAAATGGCTTGAATTTGTTAGAGTGAGCACTGGTAGCACACGCCTGGAATCTCAGCACGGGGGAGGCTGAGGCAGGAGGATCAGGATTTCAGGGCCATCCTTGGCTATTTAAGTAGTTAAAGATCACAACCTGTCCCCACAAAAGCCCAGTGTTTTGCAGTAGGCAGGGGAGTCGATGATACCCATGACCAAAGATGTCATCATTGCTGAATCCTCACTGAAGGGACCAGGATGCAAAAAGCAGAGCTTACCGGAGGTTTGCTCTTGTTGAACTTGATGGTGAAATAGGCGTTAGCACTGACTCTTGCTAGGGGTCTCACGGCAGTAGGGGCACTCCAGCGCACACGGTAGATATAGTGGAAGGAGTGAATTAAGTCTTTCCTCTCTATAAAATCTGCATAGTACACCCAGCGATTTTGAAACTCCCAAGTCTGTTTCACAGAAAAAAGAGAAAGCTCACAGAGAGAGAACAGCAGGATCAGCTCAACAAAGGCAGTACGTAACAGGGTTACAGATTCTGAAATCTTGACCTTGTTCAGTTTGTTTCGAACTAGGACCCACTCTGAGTTATTCCCACAGGAGAGAGACAGAATAATTCGGAAATGCGAAACATTTGAGATGAGCTTTGGGTGGTGGCAGAAGCAGAATGGGGCAAGGGTTAAGGTGTGGATGTACACATCACACTTGACATTCTCACTTGGGAGGCAAGTGTGTGGCTAAATTGGAGACTAATCAGTGATTGGAATAGGTGTTCTGTTTACCCCAGGAGGCCTCTAGGGTAACGAAGCCCATTTCAAGCACCTGTCAAATTGGACTTACTTCCTTTGTTGTGAAACGTGGCTTAGAAAAGAAGGGCCGCGTTCTGGGGGAGATTTTTCTTTGAAGGCACTTGCTATGCAAGCCTGAGGACTTGAGTTCAAACCCCAGGATCCCCATAAAGGTCCCAGCTAACTCCATAGGGCTGTCCTCTGACCTCTCTATGTGTGCACTGTGGTAGGTGTGTGACCCCCCCCCCACCTTCCCCCGCACACAACAAAAAAGTAAAAGAAGGTCAGGCAGTTGGGTTATCTACCTCAAATGGGGGACTGGGAGGGGGGTGGTGCAGCTCAGTAGCAGAGTGTTTGCCTCCTGTGTGGAAGGCCTTGGGGTCTGATCCCCAGCATGGGTCTTCTACACTCTCTGAGACAGGGTCTCACTAGATAGTCCGGTAAGAAAAGACGTGAGGGTGGCAGGTCTCATCTGATTGGGGGCTGAGGGTGTAGCTAAGTTGTCAGAGTGCTCATGTTTGCATGCACAAAGCCCTTGGCTTGTCCCCAGCACTGCATAGGCCAGATGTGGTGGAGCACACCTGTCATACCAGCTTGCGGGAGGTAGAGGCAGGAAGCTCCGAAGTTCAAAGTCACTCTTAGACATCCGATGAGTTCCAGGCCAGCTTGGGCTTCAGGAAATCCTGTGCCTTTCCAGCCCCCAAAATGCAATGGGATGGAGAGACAGGTACACAAGGAAGTGCCCTGAAGTTTGGCTCCCCAGAAACCCATATGGCTGGGTAATGGTGGTGCAGCTGTAATTCCAGCTTTAGAAGGCAAAGACAGGAAGCTGCATAGGGCAAGCTGTGGGATTGACTCATTGAGAGATCCTTCCTCAAAAATAAGGTGGAAGAGTGACAGGACCCACACACACGCGTGCTCACACATGCATTCCCATAAAATGCATATTCATAGGCAACATATACCATACACATGAAGAAAAAAAGTCATATCTGTTTTTTTAATCCAGGCTGTGGGAAATTTTGTTTTGTTTGCTTGTTTTTCGAGACAGGGTTTCCCTGTGTAGCTTTGGCTGTTCTGCAGCTCACTCTATGGACAGGCTGGCCTCGAACTCACAGAGATCTGCCTGCCTCTGCCTCCTGAGTGCTGGGATTAAAGGCTTGTACCACCACTGCCTGGTTTAGACTGTGGGAAATCATAAGTGGCACAGTGAGACATTTTCCCTTTCTTTTGGCCATTAGTAAAAAGTAACGGCCTACTGACGGTTTCAGAGCCGAGTTTGTAGGTTTGAAGCCAAGCTTAAGGAAAGTAGGCTTGGCTTCACAGTATGGGGTGGTCCACAGAAGTGAGGTTCAGGGCAATGGAGTATAGAGAGGAGGCCACTGCCCAGGGTCTGGTGAGCACCAACAAAGGTTAAAATGGAGTAGTGGTACCAGGATCTGAGAGGAGTGGAGAGATGTGAGCCACAGTAGGAAAGGACCCGCATGAATAGTTATTCAATATATGCGCATTACAAAGGGCCAAAGACATGAATGAGTAGGATGTTGTTTATATGCGTATGCGTATGTGGAAATAATGGTTAACCTTTTGTTATTTCTTAGGATCTTTCCAATTTGTACCTTTTCTTTCTTCCTTTTTTTTTTTTTTTTTTTTTTTTTTTTTGAGAAATGGCTTCTCACTGGTCAGTCCTAGGCAAGCATTTGCCTGTCTCTGCCTTCCTGGCACTTGGATTACAAGTACACAGCATCACGCATGGCTTTTTAAGTGGCTGCTAGGAACTGAACTCAGGTCTTCGTGCTTACACTGCAGGCATATTCCTGACTGAAATATCTCTCCAGCCTTCCTCACCTTTTGGAGACAGAGACTCATGTAACTCAGACTGGCCTGGAATGGTAGTTGAAAATGACTTTAAACTCCCAATCCTCTCACCTTCACCCCCCCACGCCCCCAGGGCTGGGGTTACAATCCTGTCCCACTATACCTAGAGATACTTCTCTCTCCTTAGGCCAGCTTGCCCCCATTGACTATGTCAGCACAAAGTGCTTATGTGGAAATAGCATATCTTTGGGAAATGTACAATTAGGACGATACAAATGCATAGCAATGTGGTTGCACTTTTCTCTTTCAAAGATCATCCTACCTTGGGGCTGGAGAGATAGTTCAGTGGCTAAGAATGCTTACTGACTGGGGAGGTGGTGCACCCTTTTTAAGCCCAGCATTCAAGAGGCAGGGGCAGATGGATCTCTTATGTGTTTAAGGTCAGCCTAATCTACATAGCAAATCCCAAGCCAGCTTGAGCTTCATAGTGAGAGCCTGTTTCAAAAAATTAAAATAGGACTGGAGAAATGGCTTACTAAGAATGTTGGCTACTCTTTTCAGAGAACCTGGCTTCAACCCTCCGCATCTACAGCAACTCCCAGCCACCTCCCACTCCAGTTCTGGGGCATCTGACACTCTCTTCCAACCTCCACAGGCACCAAGCGTACACATGGTGCACACACATACAAGTCGGGGCAAAACCACTCGTACACATACAATACAAAGATGTTTTTCTTTTTAAAAGAAAAGAGCAGTGACCGAAGGGTTACAATGCTTCTATTAAAAACATAAGACAAGTAAGCAAAACTTTCCAATCTTGACTTTGGAACTCACAGGAAAATTATGTTTACTTATTCTAGGTGTCTTTGATGCCACCCCTTTTGTTTTCATGACCTCAAACTTTTGATCAATGGAGGACTTTTTTGTTGTTGCTCACACCCTGGGGTACCAAACTGGAGTGACCAAAGTCACTTACCGAAACAAACTTCTCAATTTGTTTCCGACCCTTTTCTGCTGTGAATTCTCCATGAGTGAGCCACTTAATGTTCTTGATGGGGTTTCTGGCTTCTGCAAACAAGGTAGAGGTGTATTAGTTGCCTGGTAGTGTGCTCTTACAGCAACGAGACAATTCTTTAGACAAATAAACCAGAAACTTACCTTCCACAAATTGAACAGCGGCAGCCAGAACACCTTCAACTATAGTCCGAGCTACCTCACCTGTCCCATCGTCTTTTTTTTCCTCTACCACAGGCTTTTTCTCTTTGACTTCTGGCACAACTTTCTTCTCTTTTGTTTCTGTCTCGGGTGCCTTCTCTTTTACCTCGGGTTCAGCCTTCTTGTCTTTTATCTCTTGTATTCGCAGAGACTTGAATCCCTTTACCTCAAGCAGAGGTGGCATGTCTTTCTTCTGTCTCATCTCTGGCATGAAGATCTTCTCTTTAAATTCTGGGACAAGTAGCACAGCTGGCACGACTGGCACGACTGGTACAACTGGTGCAGCTGGCGCAGTTGGAGCAGCTGGCGCAGCCGGTGCAACTGGCGCAGCTGGCACAGCCACCTTTTCCTTTGGTTCTACTGGTGGCACAATTTTCTTTTCTTTGGCTTCTGGCACTACGGGCACAACCACCTTTTCTTTCATCTCTATTGACATAATCTTGTTTTCTCTCGTGTCTGTCACAATTCTCTTGTCTTTTACGTCTGTCACAAATGTCACCATCCTTTTGTCTTTCGTCTCTGGCTTCTTGTCCTTGGGATCTGAGATCGTCACAGTCTTCTTTTCTTTTGGCTCAGACACACTCTTTCTGTCCTTTGGATCTGTGACGATGGTCACAGTCTTTTTCTCTTTCTGATCTGTTACAGTCTTCTTTGGGTCCGCCGCAGTCTTGCTGTCTTTTGGCTCTGTAGCACTCTTGGGCTCTGGAGCATCCGGTTTCTTTGCCTTGGCTGCGCTAGTGTTCTCCACAGTCTTACCCCTCTGGGGTGGGAGTCTTTTTCTGTTATCCATTTTATTTTGCCTAGATTAAAAAAAATATTTATGTGCATGAATGTTTTGCTTGTGTGCATATCTTGCAGCAAGTGTATGCCTGATGCCTGCAGAGCTTAGAAGAGAACATTGAATTCCCTGTAACTGGAGTTACTGACAGTCGCATGCCATCATGTGGATGCTGGGACTTCAACCCAAGTCTTCTATAAGAGCAACAAGGGCCATAAAACAGAGTCATGTCTCCAATTCCTCCACCCTGTCCATTGGAAGTTCAAAATTCTCAGGCCACACCCGCTGCCTCTTGAGAAGAGACTAGGGGTGAAGGGTGCTAGTCAGACCTTTTACTACCGACCCTTTTTATCTGCTTGCTGAGATGGACCTTGCCTGAAAACCAAGGATTTTCCATGCTGCAAACTGAGAGAACTTAAATCGAAATGCAACAGAGGAATTCCTAGCTTACTTGAACCATAACTCCGAATACTGACTCTAAATGCCTCAGTTCATGCTTTGAACAGATAAGGGGTCGAGCCTAGTTTAAAATTCGAATTTCATTTTTTAAAGACTTATTTATTTTATGTGTGCATGTTCTTGTCTGCATGTACATCTGCACATCACAAAGAGGGCATTGGATCTCATGACAGTTATGAGATGGCTGTGAGCCACCATGTGGGGGCTAGGAATTGAACTCAGGACCTCTGGAAGAGCAGCCCGTTCTCTTAATCACTGAGCCATCTCTCCAGCCTCCAAATTTCATTTTTAAATCTGTGTGTGGGTTTGCTTGTGCATGTGAATATGGGTGCCTGGAGATGCCAAAGGAAGACTAAATTGCCCTGGAGCTGCGGTTATGAGGGGATGTAAGTCACTTGATGTAGGTGCTGGGAACCAAACTTGGGACCTCTGGAAGCTCAGTACATGCTCTTAACCACTGAACCATCTCTCCAGCCCCAGCATGACTTTTTTAAAAAGTTGTGAGTTGAGGGAATAAAAGTGTATTCCAGTAGTAGGCCATTTATCTAACCTTGAGAAGCCTTGGGTTCCATCTCTAGCAACACACAACACACACACACATACATATACTTTCTCTCTCTCTCTCTCTCTCTCTCTCTCTCTCTCTCTCTCTCTCTCTCACACACACACACACACACACACACACACACACATGCAAGCACACGTAATGAATCAAGAGGCAAGCCAGCAGATGAGTGTTTTCATCTTGAATTTTCCAGGTATATAATTCTCAAAGATCCCAGGCATATATTATCTCAAGGAAACTATTATTTTTACCATTTCTTTCCCGAACATGTTATGTCACTTGTGCTTAATTAGCTTTGGTTAACCCTTTCAAAAATGTTAAATGGAGGTCAAGATGATGAGTATTCTCCTTTCTGTCTGGATTCAGTGGGGCTCTTGAACCATTTGGGATGACTCTGGTTTATGTTCTGAGATCTGAAGCTGGGAATAGTGACAAATATCTTTCATCTTAACTTTTGGGAGATAGGAAGAGTGCCGCAAGTGTTGCAGGAGGCCTCTTGTTGGTTCCTGGCTGCCCAGAACCCAAATAATCACACAGAAACTGCATTAATTAAATCACTGCTTGACCCATTAACTTGCTTTTTTTTTTTTTCGAGACAGGGTTTCTCTGTAGCTTTAGTGCCTGTCCTGGAACTAGCTCTTGTAGACCAGGGTGGCCTTGAACTCACAGAAAACAGAGATCTGCCTGCCTCTGCTTCCCGAGTGCTGGGATTAAAGGCATGCACCACCACCACCCAGCTAGCTCTAGCTTTTATTGACTAACTCTTTCATCTTAATTTAACCCATCTCTGTTAATCTGTATATCACCACGAGGTCGTAGCCTACCAGGAAACTTTCAGCATGTCTATTTCCTGTGGCTCCATGGCGGCTCCCTGACTCTGCCTTCTTCTTCCCAGCATTTACTTCTTTCCCGCCTACCTAAGTTCTGCCCTATCAACAGGCCAAGGCATCTTGTGCTACATAGTGACACCCTGCCTTAAAAAAAAAAATAAGTGAACGGAGCTAGAGATAGCTTAGTGGTTAAGAGCACTGGCTGCTCTTCCAGAGGACCCCTGTTCAATTCCCAGCATCCAGCATCCACCTGGCAGCTCATAACTGCCTGCAACTCCAGTGCCAAGGGGTCTGATGTTCTCTTCTGGTCTCTGCAGGCATCAGGCACACATGTGGTGCACAGACACATGCAGGTAAAACACTCATACACATAAAATTTAAAAAAAAAATTTTGTTCCTGTTTGAAGGAACAGAAATGTTTTTCTTAAAAAAATCATAAATGCAGTTCGAGTTTTCCAAATACCTTCAGCATTTGCTGATACCGTTAACAATAACTGAGCCTTAGCTTTCTCAGGACTGTGGACATAATAGGGGTGTGTCCATCGGGAGTTCTGTTTTTTCCTTTTTACATCTTTCCTCTTGAGTCTTGAAACACTTCTGAGAAATCATTTCTAGCTTGTAAATCATTTCTTGCAGGCAAATCTTTTTTTTTTAATTTAAAAAAAAATTTAGTTTTTTTGAGATGGGTCTTTTATAATTTATTATTTTTTAAAAGAAAAACTATCTTTTTTCATTTTACATACCAATCCTAGTTCCCACTCCCTCCCATCCTCCCATTCCCTTCACCTACTCCCCACCCCACCCCCCATCAAATCCTCAGAGAGGGCTTACTTTGGGGAAGGTCCAAGGCTGTCCCTACTATATCTAGGCTGAGCAAGATATTCATCTGTAGGAAATGGGTTCCCAAAAAGCCAGCACAAGCAGCAGGGATAAATCCTGGTGCCACTGCCAGTGGCCCCTCAGTCTGCCCCAGCTATACAACTGTCAACCACATTCAGAGGATCTAGTTTGGTCCTATGCTGGTTCCTTCCCTGTCCAGCTGGAGTTGGTAAGAGAAGGGGTCTTATTATGTAGCGTTTGCTGGCCTGGAGTACCCCGTGTAGACCAGAATGGCTTTGGACACACAAAGGTCCATCCACCTGCTTGATTAAAGGTGTACAACCCCATGCCAGCCTCCTTGTCAGCAAACCTATAAATGAAAGGGAGGGGGGTGGCAGTAGGTGTTTTTCCAAACTGAGCTCTTTATTTTTCTATAAAAAAAGCTCCCAATTTTGGGATATTTTATGTGCCATGTTTCATTTAACTACCATGACCCTATGACTGAGACAGACACTGGCTACTTTCCACATCTTCTGTCTCCTGCTTTGCTGGAAGGCTGACGGGAGTAGAGCACATGAAATGGCCCTCTAGTGTCCTAGGGAGGTCACATGCCAGGAAGAGCATGTGGACCTGTGAGAGGAAAACTACATTGCTTGCTGGCCCCCCTCTATGGAATACCTGTGACTGGCTGGCTGCCTAGAGAAACTTCTAGCTTCTCTGGGCTGCTGTCTTACACAACTTGTGTCTGGTTCCCTCCAACTCCTACAAGCCTCAGCAAGCTGAACTCTGTATGTCTGTACTATGGCCGCATCTTTGTATTTCCTTGACCAACTATCCTAATTTTAGTATGCTAAGTTTTTTTTTATTGTTTTGAGACAGGGTTTCTTTGGTAGCCTTTACTGTCCCAAAATTCACTTTGTAGATCAGGCTGGCCTCTAACTCACAGAGATCCTCCTGTCTCTGCATCCCGAGTGCTGGGATTAAAGATGTGCAACACCGCTGCCCGGCAAATAGAATGCTAATTTTTAAACATGTTTATTTAGTTCAGTTGACTGAGTGTATGCAAGTGTACTGTGTATGTGCAGGAGACTGTGGAAACTAGAAGAGGGTGGGATCCCCTGGAACTAGAGGATTTTGTTTTTGTTTTTGTTTTTTTGTTTTTTTTTTTTGAGACAGGGTTTCTGTCTGTGTAAAAGCCCTGGTTGTTCTGGAACTAGCTCTTGTAGACCAGACTAGCCTCAAACTCACAGAGATCCACTTGTCTTTGCCTCCTGAGTGCTGGGATTAAAGGTGTGTGCCACCACTGCCGGGCCTGGAATCAGAGTTACAGGCAGTTGTGAGCCAGCTGATATATAAGATAGGAAAAAGAAATGCAAAAATATTAATTCACAAAAGGCTTCAGGGGCCTGTTTTCATCTTCATCTGGTCCAGATTGTGCTCCTTCTTCCTGCAAGCCTCTTTTTTTTCAACTCCTTAATGGGAGGGGGCATGGGTGCTCCAACACACATGGGGAGGTCAGAAGGCAACTTGCAGAAGCTGGTTCTCTCTTTCTACCACGTGAGTCCTGGGGACCACATTTATGCCCTGTGCCATCTCACTCTTGCTGCAAGCCCCTTTCATGAAAGACAACCCTTTGTTTCCCTTTTTAGCATCATTGGTCCTAAGTGTATGGTGGACACTGTGTAAGGCAATCAAATTCCATATATATATATATATATATATATATATATATATATATATATATATATATAAAGCCCTGCATATCCTTTAAACATTCCTGTAATAACTACAGATAACTACAGACTCATGCTCATTTAGGCCTTGATATTTTCATTTTCCGCTCCACTCCCCTCCACCTCAGTTGTCCTCTTGCGGCAGCTGGCGTCTTTCCAAAGCCCACCTTTGGATACATAGCAAGTTTGAAAGCAGCCAGCCTAGGTTACATAGATTCCCTCATCTCCAAAGTAACAACAGCAAACCAAAAAGGGAGGGCTTGAGGAAGGAAAGAAGGAAGGGTTTTAACTTCACCCATCTACGGACACATCAGTCTTGGTGTCCCTCCCACTGACTTCTTTGGGGTCTGGGTAATTAATAGAACCACTTCAGGTCCCCAGTTGAGGCCTCCCCCATCCCAAAGAAACTCCGGTACCTAAATGAGTAGATTCCTTTTCGAAGCAGTAGCAGAGTTAGCCAGGGAAGCTTTAGCAGTTCTTGCAGGGCTTTGCCCCAAGATTCCTGGAGAGAATGTTTACAAATGCTACCATGGCAACGACGGCTCTTTGAACAATGGGAAGCTAAGCCCATGTGCCCCAGTCAATAAAAGCAAAGAAAGCAAGAGGAGGAACACACATTCTCCTTGCCATTTGGCCTCAGTACCAGAACTGAGCTGTGTGACGCAAGCTCAGCTTCTTCCCAGGACATGAGCTTTCAGGGTAGTGCCTGGAGGGTGATGCCACATTCCTCAGCCAAGAAGCACTGGGCCTTTGTATGCTCTGCAGGTTACTGCAACAAGCTATCTACTTTTTACAGTGCCGTCAGAATGTAGGTACCAGTGTTTCATATTTGGATGAAGTGAGGCACAGAGGATGTCATGCAAATTGCTGAGAGCTCAAACCCAGAACTATCTGACATCATTGACCACAATCTCATCTTTTCATGCCCATTCTGAGGTTAGGAGCTCTAATATGTTCAACTATTCTGAAAGATGTCTTTTGTGCATTGAGGATGAGAGTAGAACAATGATATCTGTACAGACTCAAGACAGTTTGCTTTGCACTTTTCTTTTTCCATTTGTTGTTGTTTTTTTGTTTTTTGAGACAAGGTTTCTCTGGGTAACAGCCCTGGCTGTCCTGGAACTCACTCTGAGACCAGGCTGGCCTTGAACTCATAGAGATCCACCTTCCTCTGCCTCCCAAGTGCTGGGATAAAGATGTGCACCACCACCCAACTTTTCTCTATTTCTTGTCTACAAAATAAAGATGATCATGGCTTAGAGTAGAGGGTGTTGTCCTTTTTAGACAATGTCTTTCTATAGAGCCCTCCCTCTCAACCAGGGTCTCATGTATGGGATCTGAACTTGCTATGCAGCAGAGGATGGCCTTGAACTTCTGACCCTAAGCTATGGAATTCATGCATGATGCCAACTGACTTAATGTTCCAAAATCCCCGGGCGTTCCCAAGTGGCCTGCCCAGGATTCCTGGGTGGTTTCCCAAGCAGCTAGCTGCGGGAAATGCTTGCGAGTCCCCGGCGGGCGGGGCAGGTGCCAGGCCCCGGAGTGGCTCGTGGCAGGTCCTGGGTCCCACCACCCGAGTGGCGGCGGGTTCCCAACGGCAAGCGGGCGCATGGGTAGGGACATGTGACAGACACATAGTATGAATCAGAACTGAACCTTTACTACTTAGAGGAGAGAGAGAGGGAGGGAGGGAGGGAGGGAGAGAAAGAGAGAGAGAGACAGAGAGACATGTGCACACGCACACCAAGAGGGGACAGCGAGAGAGATTCAAGATGGTGGGGCAGGGGTCAGAGGTCACTGGGAGTGGGTGTGGCTTGTCCCTTAAAGGAACCAGAGACCAAAAGAATAACATTCCCACGTCTTCCTTACAATAAAAAAAACAGAAGATTAGACACCACAGTTTGAAGGAATTGGGGCGGCAGATTCTCAAAACTGCTTCTGATTGTGGGAATCGTCTTTTGGGGGGGGGGACCTGGGAAGGCTGGGTGCTGGCCACATCCTGGCATAGCTGGTCTCTTTGCTTCTGACCGGTGTCTGTGGCACGGAAATGTCTGGTGTCCCTTATCCTGTTTAAGGTATTGGCAGAACAAAGAACAAAGTTAAATTAAGGGGAAAAAATTTTTTTTGGACCAGGGAATTGATGGGTGTAACTGACCTGTTTAAGATCCTTTAATTCAGCTCCCTGGAACTCACAAGAATTCCTTGGGTTTGTGAAAACAGAAGTTTTAGACACATGGAAGGCAGCATAATAGAGAAATTTGATTTGAAATTTATTTGGTGTGGTAACCTGGCAAAACCTCTCAGCTATCAAATTGTCAGAGATCTTTGAGAAGGATAAGATTTTACTTGAGTTACTGATTAAAAAATAACAGAGAACTTACTTGGATGGCACCCAGGGCTACTCTTTTGGGCCCTCCATGGTCGCTGAAGGTTGCACTTGACCTTTGCTGGTTAGCACCAGGCCTGCCAGGCTCCAGAAGATCCTGTGGGCTAAGAAATCTGTAGGAAGACAGGCCTACCTTGACCTGAGCAGCTAGGCTGTCGATTCCAGTGATTCCGTCCACATCTAGAAGTCTTTAGTTTAGACGAAAGGCAGTTTTGCCCAATGGTCAGCGCTTGGCAGTTGAAGCAAACTGCAGAAGGATGTTGTTCTGCGCCCATTTGTCTTCTTTGGAGGACGCAGAGTGTTGCTGCTAAGGAGCCAACCTGTCTCTTCTTGTTATGAAAAGTTTTTTAATAATTAAATACTTAAATATCACATTCCCCGGATCTCTGAGCAGTTGAGGGCTGTTTATCAGGCATAGCTGCAGCATAGAATCTGTCTGGAAGGTTGGATCTGAGCTTCACTGCACTGGCTCTTAACAGGTAAGATCCACACTTGTAAAAAGAGAGAAAGAAAGAAAAAAAACTGCTTGTAATATAAGATTAGTGGCAGAACTGACAATGGTAGAGAACAGCTTAATATTAAATATAAGGCGTTTCTGTAAGAGACTTAAAAGTACATACCAGTTTAAAATATGAGACTTATGATTTTGTAGTCTGAAATGAGATGTAATGAGCAATTATTATACACAGAAAGAGTGAACAGGAATTGGACAACATGGATGCCTTTGATGGACCCTATCAAAGGCATGCCATTGTACAAAACATATGTAACAGGGTTAACATGAGGAGTTTAGTGAAAACCAGGTGAAAAGGCAGGGTATGCAGAAGTAAAAGTGGGAGAGCTTGGTCACCTGACCTGGCTCTCAGCCAAAATGGTGACAAAGTCACTGGACCCACCTGGCCCTCCACCAAGATGGCGACAGCCACGTGTTGTATGAAAAAAGTCACAATTTTTGAGCTGTAAGGATTTGAAGCTTAATGAGAGGGACTTAAAGGCATGATCTGCTCTGTTGCTGAGCCGCCATGACATAACAGAAGCCGCAGAGGGGAGGGGCAAAAGGCTGGAACCGAAAAAACTGCATCATGCCACGGCTTCAATTGAAAAGCCGGCTGGAATTTTAAAGGCCGGGGAGCCGGTTGCTATCCAGAGCCAAAATCGTGAAAACCCGCAAAAACAGCGTGAACACCCAAGACCACGTGGAAGAGCATCTTCTATCTGCGGGTGGGGTGCTATGGCCTAGCTGGATTCTGGTGACCCAGAAACCAGGGAGGCTGGGGGGGGGGGGGGCTGCTCCGAGTGGCGATTAACCGATGAAAGAAGTGTTGTGCTTTCCTGTTGCTTTAAGGGACAAGCCACGCCCACTCCCATTACCTCTGACCTGCCCGCTGCTGCCGTCTTGGGCCCTTCCTTTTCTGCTTCCTTGACGTGCGTGCTTTTTATTATAAGGAAGACCTGGGAATGTTATGGTTTTGGTCCCTTTAAGAGACAAGCCACACCCATTCCCCTCCCCATCCGCTGAGGCAGGCTGACCTTCAGCTTCCTGCCTGAGCTCATTCTCTTTTCCATCTTCCTCTCGGAGAGGCAGCTTCGCTTCTGCCTCTTTCCCCACTTCTCTGCTTCCCCCCTTCTCTGTCTCTTTCTCCTCTTCTCTCCTCTCTCTCTCTCTCTCTCTCTCTCTCTCTCTCCCTCTCTCTCTGTCCCCCCCCTTCACCCTTCCTCCTCCATAACCCCCTGAATAAACATTCAACCTCACCCTGCATGTCGTGTCTATCCCTGTTTCTGTCTTCTGCCCACCCGCCATGTGTCTCCCTGCCTGGAACCAGCCATTGCTCAGGGACCAGCAGCCGTCTCTGCCTGGGGCCCACTGCCTGCAGCCACATGGCCCGCCACCACTGCTCTGGGACCAGTAGCCGTCTCTGCCTGGGACTGGCTGCTCCCAGGGCCCGCTGCCTGCCACCACATGGCCTGCTACCACCATTTGGGACCTACAGTATTTCTGCTGCCTACTGCCACCGGGGATCTTGCAGCATTTTTTAAAAAACAATAACAAGAAGAGAAAAAGGAAAGAGAGGAAATGGAAAAAAAAGATAAAGAAACTAAGGGACCCTGGGTCCCTGGTCAAATGCACTGCACAGGAAGTGCATAGTGCTAACGCAGGCAGACCGATCCCCAGGACCCATCCAAACATGACTCCGGCAAAGGAAAGCAACCATAGCAGAATGGGGAGACACTCACCATTGAAGCCATCTGGGAAGCTGGTGGTGTGTAAGACTTTAAGACAATCCTGAAGCCATTTTTTGACAATTCTGAATCCTCTCTGCCTCTGTGCCATAGTGCTTCCCCTCCTCCCCTGGGAACCAAGGACCTAACAGCTACACTCACACGTACTCAGTTCCTGAACAATTACCCATATACATATGTTTTGGTTCGGTCCCCTGGGAAACGGTGTCAAAATGACCTCTTACCTCATCTGATCTGGCAACAGCTCTCCAGTCAATTATTGGTAATAGCCCTTTCAAATAAGCCAATCAGAATAGTCAAAGAGCAACCCCCTTGCTTCTGTGGCCCCTTTAAAAGTAGACTGTAAGCCAGGCGATGGTGGCGCATGCCTTTAATCCCAGCACTCGGGAGGCAGAGACGGGCGGATCTCTGTGAGTTGGAGACCAGCCTGGTCTACAGAGCTAGTTCCAGGACAGGCTACAAAGCCACAGAGAAACCCTGTCTCGAAAAACCAAAAAAAAAAAAAAGTAGACTGTACCAGCTATTCGAGGTCCCTCGGCTTCCCGAATGCTGGGGGACCCTGTCATGACAGAATTAATAAATTCCTCATGCTTTTGCATCAGCTGTGGTGTGTGAGATGGTCTCTGAGGGTGACTCCTTCTCGGTGTTTGGACGCTAAAGTCCAACAGTGGGAGTGGAAAAAGAACCCAGTTCATGATATCTGAGTCATGTGGCACCAATTAATGTTCCATAATCCCCGGGTGGTTCCCCTAGCAGCTATTGGCGGGAAATGCTCGCAGAGTGGCTCGTGGCAGGTCCTGGGTCCCGCCATCTGAGTGGTGGCGGGTTCCCAATGGTGAGTGGGCGCGTGGGTAGGGACATGTGACAGACACATTGTATAAATCAGAACTGAACGTTTATTACATAGAGAAGAGAGAGAGAGACAGAGAGACACGTGCAGTGTGCATGCCAAGAGGAGACAGCGAGAGAGATTCAAGATGGCGGGGCAGGGGTCAGAGGTCACTGGGAGCGGGTGTGGCTTGTCCCTTAAAGGGACCAGAGACCAAAAGAATAACATGAGTTGTATCCTCAAGCTCGAGATCCCCATATGTCAGCTTGAGGGCAGCATCATGCCCAACTTTGAATAGGTTTTCTTTTGTCCTTCTATTCTCTCTCTCAAATTCTCTCTCTTCCCCATCTCTCCTTCCCTCCCTCCCTCCTCCCTCCTTTCTTCTTATGGTGTAGGAGTTCCTTCTGTTTGTGTGTTGCTTTCATTGGTTAATGAATAAAGAAACTGCCTTGGCCTAGTTGATAGGGTGGAACTTAGGTAGGTGGAGAAAACAGAACTGAATGCTGAGAGGAAGAAGGGCAGAGTGAGAGAAGTCATGGATCCTCTGCCAGAGATGGATGCCTGTTACAATCTCTGATAACCCACTGCTACATGGCGATACACAGATGAATGGAGATAGGTTAAACTAATATGTAAGAGTTAGACAATAAAAAGTTAGAGCTAATGGCCAAGTAGTGTTTTAATTAATAGTTTCCTTTTTTTTTTTTTTTTTTTTTTTTTTGGTTTTTCGAGACAGGGTTTCTCTGTGGTTTTGGAGCCTGTCCTGGAACTAGCTCTGTAGACCAGGCTGGTCTCAAACTCACAGAAATCCACCTGCCTCTGCCTCCCGAGTGCTGGGATTAAAGGCGTGCACCACCATACCCCGGCAATTAATACAGTTTCTGTGTGGTTATTTCAGGTGTTAGGTAGCAGGGTGGCCGGGACAAACAAGCAGCCCCTCTCTACAACACTCCTCCCTCCCTCCTTCCCTCTCAACCAGGGTCCCATGTATTCCAGGCTGGATCTGAACTTGCTATGTAGCAGAGGATGGCCTTGAACTTCTGACCCTAAGCTATGGAATTCATGCAAGCTGCCAACTGAGTTGCATCCTTAGACATGAATAGGGTGTTTGTTTGGACTTTTCTAGTTGTTGACTCTTGTTTTGTTTTTGAGACAAGTTCTATGTTAGCCCTGTCTGGCCTGAAATTTGTTATATAGACCAGGTTGGTCTTGAACTCACAGATATCTGCCTGCCTCTGCCTCAAAGAGTTGCTTTGCTGCTTTTAAAAAAAATGATAATTAAGCCCAATTATTTATATGAAGATTAGAAGCAGTGCCAGATACATCACATACTTTCTTTATAGTGGTTGATAATATTCCTGGCAGCATCATTAATAATAATGATGTGTTTCTAAGATTTATTTTATTATTTTATGTGTATAAGTGTTTTTTACCTGAATGTATGTATGCGTACCACATGTGTACTTCGTGTTCATGGATGCCAGGCGACTGTGTTGGAGCCCCTGGATCTGGAGTTACAGACTGTTGTGAGTTGCTATGTGGGTGCTGGGAACTGAACCTGAGTCTTCTGAAAACAGTAAACATTCTTAACTGCTATACCATCTCTCCAACCCTATAGTAGTGACATTTTAAAAAATATTTTTATTAATGTAATTTCTTTATCGAATCTTTGGGAATTCCACATCATACACCACAATTCCACTCACCTCCCAGTCCCTCCATATCCTCCCCACACCCTGAAGTGCCCCCAAACAAAAATAAAAAAATTAAACCAAACCAAACAAAAACAAAAATAAAAACAACAAAAGAACAAACAACCAAACAAAAACCAACCAAACAAACATAAAAACCCCTTTGTTCCTCCATCATTCCTGCCTCTCCAACACCTCTTCATCGTCCTGGTAGCACTGGGAGCCAAGGTGTATCACACAGTCTACCCTTTTGTCCCATCAACTTTACTTGCAAATGTTTTCATTGCAATGAGTCCTTGACCTGGTTCAAGGCCTCTAGTTTCTGGTACAGCATCATCACTGGACCCTCTCCAAAACTCCTCTAGGATATCCTGTGGCTGCCCCAAGTCATGGAGAACAACATCCCTTCAGGAGCTCCAGCGGGTCCTAGATGGCGTAGATGTTAGGGCAGGCCAACCCAAGGCCTGGCTGTGGGTTTGGGTGGTAGCTGAACTGGTCATTCCAGGCCACCAGGGCTGTCCCCCTCAGGCGAGGGGCAGAGCCAGCTCCCCTGTACCTATGCCATCAGGGTCAGCTCTCCCCTACCTGTTATGAGGGTTGGGGCCAGCTCTTGCTGCTGTGCCCAGCAAGGGGCAGGGCCAGCTATCCTAGGGCCAGTGAAGAGCAGAGCCTGCTCAGCATGGTTCTCTGATTCCATCACACATGGTTCCCATGGCCCCCTAA